GTGCTCCTGGAGGAATTTTTCCCCTTCCATCAGTGGGGGAAAAACTTCCTTCTCCATAGCGTCGCAGAAGGTTTTGAGGGCTTCAGCAGCTTTTTTCTCATATTCCTCACCCTTCTGCTGCTTCTCTTCAGCTGCTGCTTGCTTCAGCTTAGCAAGCTTTAATTCCTCTTCAGCTACCTTCTTGTCGTGCTCAGCAGCGTCTACCCTATCTTGTAGGGTATCTATCAGCTCTACAGTAAGAGTCTGATTGTGCACGAACTGAAAACAGGAGCACAAGTTAAAAAAAAATAAAAAATAAAAATAGAGCTGAATTTTAGAGGAAATAAATGCAAGGAAAATCACCTGGATCATCAGCAGTTGGTTAGACCTGGCTGGGTCAGGAACTGATCTGCTGGATTCGCCCATCCCAGCAGTGGCCTTCAGCGACCAGATTCTTGCCTTATCTACTTCGGACATGCCAGCAAAATCGCCGAAGTAGGCTGCAACACCTTCTCGGTTCTGACCCGATATGAGGTCCCAGATGTGATCTGGGATTGGAATTCGGGGGGCCGAGAAACCCATCTCTCCAGATTGCAGAGTCTGGAAGGAAGGAAAGGATGATGACGGAGCTTCTTTAGCTTTGGATGGCTTAGCATCATCCTTCTCAGAAGAGTCAATTACTATGACCTCTTCTTCTTCAGGGGTGAGGACGAAAGCCTCAACCTCTCTTGCAATGTCTGCCGTGAAACCCTCAGCACTGGGCATCACGGCATCCTTATTTTTGTGCTCAGCAGCACTCTCCTGAATTTCTTCTTGGACCCCTCCCTTAGATTCGGGAGTTCTCTAATCCACCTCCATCTCAGGAGGTGGCGGAGGGGTCTTTTGAGGTGATTGGGGTGGTGGCCGGGGAACCCTCGGCGATCCATTGCCTTCCTCGGGTTCCCTTATTTCAACGCCGATGGTCATCGGCCTCCGCTGAAAGTCATGAGGGCCGATGATGGCCATTCTTCGGCGCCTTTTCTGAAGGGGCTGCTCGTCCATGTCTGAGTCTGAAGACTCTTCTTGTATTTGGTCTTCGGGACGAACAGGGGCTTTCCCTTCTCTGTGTCTGTTACTCTCTTCAGACTGTAACAGACAGGGGGGAGGAAGAATGTGAGTACAAAAAAAAAAAAAAAAAAAAAAAAAGAAAGACAAAGTTAAGTCTGAAAGCTCACCGAGGTCTTCAGCAAAGCCTCGTCTTCTTCAGCTGCCCTAGCTGCAGCTTCTTCTTCAGCAGCTCTGGAGGACCCTTCTCCTCCTTCGCAAGCTTCGAGAACCTGTGCAACCTCTTCGGCTGTACGGGCAGCTTCAACTTCTTCGTCCAGCAGCTGAAACCAGGGGTCTCTCTTCTTCCACCAAGGATTCTGCCTCTGATACAGAGCAACAGCATCAATTTGGAAGTGGGAAGAGTCTAGATGAACTTCCCTATGCCTCGGTTCAGTGATAGACGGGGCCCGATCAGTTACAACTCGTTCTCGGTTGACACCAAGACGAGCGTAGTTAATGCCAACGTTGGTCTCGTCCCGTTCTGAAAAAAAAAGGGGAAAGGTCAGTTCAGTTAGGTTGGCACAACATAAAACGAAGTGAGGAGAAAAAGAGATAATTAAAAAGCCTCGGCCCAAGCCGAAGAAGCTTACCATCCTTAAACTTTCGGCTGAGGCCAACAGCTGCTAGCATGTTCTCTTGGAAAACATAATGCGTATCGGGGAGCCAAGTCTCCGGGATATGCTGCATTCGGCCGCTGCCCCCCCGGTTCGGAAGCTTGCCGAAGATGTTCTGCTGATTAAGGTTCGGATCTGGCCCGTTATCTGCGGGGGGACCTAGACTTCCCATGTCGGGATCAGGCTCAGCAAGGTACCGGGGAGCGCTGAAGACGCAAGGGTGGCCTGGGTCCGTGGGTGCCCTAACCCAAATCCATTGACCTCTCCAGTCCTTGTCTGAAGAGTCGTTCGGCCACATGGTCAGGTACTGGGGCCGAGACTCAATTCGGTACCACCCAGAACCATGGCTTCCGTGCCCACTTTGAATATTTGGCACTAGCCGATGAAGATTTTTGAAGCAGTGCAGGTTCGGCACATACTTGAAGAACTTGCAGACCCATAAGTATGTCATCACCCTTCGGATGCTGGTGGGAGTTAGTTGACATAGGGAGATATTGTAATGGATCAGCAAGTCTCGGACGAATACGTCCAAAGGGAACCTCAGCCCATACTGAATCTGTCTTGTGTACACCCCCACATACCCCGGGGGTGGACGATGGATTCTATCGGATGCCGCGGGCATTCGGCACCAATACCCATCAGCTTCAAAAATGCCGTAATGCAACTCAATTTGCTCGGCAAACCAATATTGTTCGGCATTCTCCACCCACCATGAGTAGGGGCGGTTCTTTATCATGGCCGAAGCTACTTCGACATTCTCCCACTCTGAAAACCCGGGGAGGATATCCCAAAGGACAGCGGGAACTTCATCGTCCCGTCCAGAAGCGCTCGGCCCCTCCGTTCTCTGAGGAGGAGCCGAGGAAATTGGAGTCGCCCTAATCCCTTCAGCAGGGTCAGACTCTGGCCTTTGTCCATTCCAGGTCCCAATCCTGTTCCTAGGATCGGGAATTGGCCTTGCTCTTCTTGGAGCACGGGCTCTACCTCTAACTCCTCTTGCCATTGATTATTTCGAAGAAAAAAGTCGAAAAAAAAGGGGAAGGAGTTCGAATTCGAAGAAAAATAAACTGAAATCAAAAGAATTTACCTTAATCTGAAGCGAAAGTTGCCGATTTACGAGTTCGTAGTGGCAAGTCTCAGTTTCTAAGCTTAATGCTCGGGGAATTTGCGAAGTTTTGATGCGGGTTCTTGGGTTCTCTCGAGAATTCTGGGTTTGTGTTGGTGAATAAGTGAGGAGAGATGACGCGCTTCTGATTATATCTCCAGAAATGGGAATGCGGGGAGTCCGCGTTTCAATTTCTCTTAAATACCCCACTAAGTAACCGTTAAACACACGACCTTGCGATTAAACTGCCCATTATCCGTCCAACTTCCACAATCATCCGCCTTAACCGTTGTTATCTCATTAATTACGGTTTAAATTCAAATTTTTGGATTAATTAAATCATTTACTTCCCTCCTTTTCTGAATTAAATCAAACCCGACCCGTCATCCTTCCAAATCGGGTCTGGGGGGCAAGTTGTTTGGGTCCAATTTAGTCCAATTGGGCCTAGGCATTAAATGATCCAATTAAAAGCCCAAGGTCAAGGTTCAACTCTCCAATTGTGCTAAAGTCAAAGGTCAGCCCTCAAAGCAAGCCAATTGGGCTAAGGCCCAACTTCTCCATGTATGAAGAGGTATAAAAGCCATCAATATTCATATATACACATTCATTCATATATTCATATAGTCACATTCATTCACATATTCTCATATATTCTCATAACTCAAGAAAAGCCTCAAGCAACAAATTCTCTTGCATAGTGTTCTCTTTCTACACATTGTACTGACTTTAGCATCGGAGGGGCCTTCCTCGGCAACACCCCCGAGGCTAGTTTACGTGTGTTTACTGTGCAGGAAACCTTCGGCCCAACATTACTTGGACCGAATCCAGTCTTCTCCGTTTCAGCGGACCTTCGGCAAGGTCCCATTGTTTTCACCCGAAACACTTACTACGGAGTAATTGTTAACGATGATGATGTATCTAGCTACATTTAGTTGTAAATGTGAATAATGTGATTACACATACACAATTTTGTTTGATGTTTCATTATAGTTTGATGGCTAGTGTAAAATTGCCTAAGTGAAAGAGAGTATAAGGCCATGACATATTTTAGTTTTTAGAGTGACAAAAATCGGTTTAATTTCTTTTAAAGTTCTCTCCTTTATCTTTGTAATCTCTTACAAATTTTGGATTGATTTTAGTCTAAGATCCTAATCCATCTTTTCTTGCAAAATTTGGAGTGATTTTAGTCTAACATCCGGGTTGGATCATATTTAATCAATTGGTACATTCGTTTTTTACTTAAGGAGAGTAGTAAGATGTCTAAGAACTCATTAGAAAATATATAAACATATAGAAGTGAAGTAGCAAAAAAATATATAAAAAAAAAGTATACAAAGTATATAATTGAAGTGTATATTGATCTAACTAGTTGGCTTGGTTAGAGTTTCGACAATAGTATTTGCTACTATAACAATTATTTAATAGATTCATTTTTAATTATTCAATACGATTTGGAAAGATAAACGGATGTGAAATAAGGAATCCTTGGAATGATTGGAGGAAAAACACAAGATGCCAAATGTTAGCTAATTGAGAGTTCCATAAGTAGCTCCAAACACTTCCAAATCCTAGCTAAATTTATTGATCAAAGCCTAAGCAAATATAAAAAAAAACTTCAAAAAAAAAAAAAAAAAGACCAAAATACATTTGTCAAGAATGGGATTCGAACCCATGCCCTTTCGGACCAGTACCTGAAACTGGCGCCTTAGACCAACTCGGCCATCTTGACTTTGTTGTACCATGTATCATAATTTTGTTATAAATAGGTTAAAATTACTTTAGGCCCAAATAGTTTCTACAAGTACCATGTGCAAGCATGTCACCCAATGGGCCGTTTTTGTTGGGTTAATTTATTCAATTGTTATACATAGTAGACTACATTTTCATCATAAACTTTCTATCCATTTAGGCCATATGGCAATATGACCATAATCAAATGGTTATAAATAAAACCCTTTCATCCTACTATATTCTTTGCATGGTTCACTAATTTTTCAACTTCACTTAGTTCAAAACCAATCCCCTTTGGAGCCTCTATGGCACACAGAGTTGTCAAATTAAGTTTACGATCAAGTTCTGTCAGATTGTAGTCGAATTAATGAGTCATGTTTTGTCAGCTCTAGTGGCATATGGCTAATGAAATCGAAGATGTCCACAAATCTTTCAATGCTTTGATCAATTGGAACAATTCTCATAATTTTCAACAAGTTAATCGAGCGACTAAATAATGAATACGTAACTATTGTTTCTTATATGCCAATTGACTAATGACTATTGTTATAATTCTATTATTGTATTTGATGCATTAGATGGAATCAAACCTAATTTTTTCACTATAATTCGTACTCCGTACCCATTTTTTTTTTTTTTGGAATAGAACTCATACTCCATACTTATGTACTACAAGAATTTGAATAGGTGAATTAGATTCATTAGCTAAAGAAAATGACAACTCTGTCCATAATTTCCACTAGATTAGTCAAAAGCTATTGTTTATATGAGGCTGATAAATAATGGGCTAACCTAAAGTCAAAAATTAAACCCAGCCCAAACAAATTGAATTCAAACTTCAAAGCCACCTGTTTTCTCCATTAACATCTTTTTTTTTTAAAAAAAAAAACTATTAAAAAAATTAGGGCTTTTCATCATCTTCTTCTTCAACCTTCATCATCATCTTCCAAGTTTTAATCTTTCTGATTCTTTATCTTAATTTAATCTCTCTGAAATTTGTATATGTTTTAAAATTTTGAATTTGAAAAAGGGGTTTTGAATTGTTTTTAAATTAGTTATTAAAATGGGAAGATTGTTTATAGAATCACTTCCAGGTCCAAGGATATTCAAATGCAGCTGCTGTAAAGTTGACTCTGCATCTCCAGACGACATCGTTTCGAAGAACTTTCAGGGGCGTTTTGGTAAAGCTTATCTCTTCAGATGTGTGTATGTATGCTTCTCTCTCTTTCTCTTCATTTTCCTTTATTTTGTTAGTGTTTGTTCTGATTCCGATTTTCTTGGAATTATTATGTTTTATACTTTTATGTATTGCTTTTACGGCCCGTTTGGTAGGTAGTAATAAATAGCAATAATGAGAATGAATTTGTATATATAAATATATGTTAATTCCAATGGAAAAAGTAAATTTGAATTATAATGTTGATGGAATTGATTTAATTAGAATTATAAGGTTGATGATCATCCTTATCTCCCAAAATAATTAATAAAAATTGATGATGTTCTTGCATATATTAAGGTATTGCTGTAGTATTCTAAATTTCTAATTAGCTCACCCTATGAAATGTTATGTTGTTGAATGGAAGTGTGTTAGTGCTCTAATTAGTTTGTTTTGAGAAGCTTGATTGGGGATTAAGTGAAGCTGAACCTAAATTTGATGAATGTTATGTTACTTGGATTCGAATTGTTGATAACATAATACTTGAATACATCAAATTAGACTTCATAAAATGCCCTGCTATTTTGTTAATTCTGCATACTTTAGTCTTTCGGAGTGGTCAGTGGATGTTAACAATCTTAGTTCGTCTAAGTTTTGGAAGGTGGGATAGAACCTCGTCTACATAACTACCCTTTGTGGCAACTTATACACCAATATATACATTATATCTTAGTCCTTAAGACATGCAAAGTAGGTTGCTAGTTGGAAACTCATGGCTTTAACAAGCTTCAGATATCCTTTCACTTCCCTTTTGTGAGATGTTATTCAAGATGAATTAAGAATTTATCGGGTAAGTGGAATTTGTTATATGGATTATTTGTAAGGACAATTATTAGGTGTACTTTGTGCTTATCACTTTTTCATGTTTTCATTTTACCTTAAGTTACTTAAGTACTTGTTTTAAGTTCTCTCAAACAAAAGTATGGACTCATGAAATTTATTTTGAACCCAGAAAAATGAAACTCTTCTTAAGTACTTGTTTTAAGTTCTCTCAAACATAAGTATGGACTCATGAAATTTATTTTGAACCCAGAAAAATGAAACTCTTCATAATGTAGTTGAATTTGACATTGAAACACTGCTATCTAAGTACGAAAAAATAGGGCTTATATATTCAGATGCTTATGCTCTCACAACTAGCTGAACAATTTAAGAGTGGGTTAAGGAGACACCAGACACCTTTGCAACCCTTCTTGAAACGTTGTCATGTCACCATGTAGATGCTCTAAAGTCTTGATAAGCTTTACAAACTCAAATTGTGGTGACTTGTAGTTGTGCCTCAGAACTGACACGAGGAAGCTCTGACAAAATTAGTCTTTATCAGATTTCACTGTCATGTGTCCTAGTAAAATGAACTGATGTCCAACTGTAAGTGTCTGCATTGAGGATTAAAGGTCATCCGAGAAGAGTTAGAAGACTAGATTTTCATTCTGCTTATGCTAAGAGTTGCAAATTGGATTCTTGCCTTCTATAGGCAATACTATTAAAGACAGTTAACGCTGTTTTGTGTCAAACTTATTGAACTTATTTACTGAAACATTTCAGAGTTAATATCTGTCTTGGGCCTACTGAGGAACGACATCTTACAAGTGGACTGCATGCTGTGAGTGACATATATTGTAGCTATTGCTTGCAAATACTCGGTTGGAAATATGTAAGTATCAGAATGATCAATTTCTGCTCTTTCATGACTTAAGCTATTCAAGCAAACATTGTTTGAATGTTTTGGCCAATCACTGCATGTGTTGTGCTGATATTTATTTGCAGAAGCTTTAACTTGTATATGTAGTTGTATTCTACCATAAATTTGATAGCCTACTTAAACTTTATCATTTTTATTTCATAGCCTATCATACATTATTAAATAAAAGGTATTATTTATATGAAAGGTCACAGCTGTTAGATGGATTAAATTCTTACTTTGTCCACTTCAATTTCTTGTTTGATCATTGTACATTTGTACTAGTATTATAAATATAAATGTAGATGGTAAATAGCTTGAGATTCTCAACTCCTCTATTCTAAAATTGAATAATTTGATAATAGATTGAGGATCTTTTGTTAGCAAACCATAATGTCATATATACATGACAGGTCTTGCTCCCACTTTCCATTCTATTTGTCAATACCAACTTTTTGTTTGATGCATTTACTAAACATCACGCTCCTACAAACTGGTTTTATAAATTTCCTTGAGATGACGATAAGAATGATTTCGCTGTGGTTTCAGGGTTCTTACACTTCTTGTTCTAATTGTGCATATGACTACCTGATTGAATTTGATCATCCTGGAGGCTGACTTACTGTAGTTACTGACACTGACTTAGCTGTTGACCAAGTTCTAAACAATTGTATTATGGATTGAACATCGAGAATTTATTTGTTTTCGGTTCTTCTAATCAATACATTTCAGAGATACAACCTTTATGTTTGGCCGCCATAATAATTTTTACCGGCTCTGCTATGAGGTCATCAGTTGTTATATTATCGAGTTAGTTTCTCAGGTTTTTTTTTTGTATCATTGATGTGAATGCAGGAGAAGGCATATGAAGAGAGCGAAAAGTACAAGGAAGGGATGTACATTCTAGAGAAATATAGAATGCTGAAGGTTGGCTGGTAATGCTTTCAAGCACTTTCATGCAGTGCTGTAGTATAAATTAATCTTGTGATTCTTCACACTTTAGAATATCAAGCTTGATATATGAATCATTTTAGATACTGCGTTATATAAAGTATTTTGGCTTGGTTCACGTGTGTGAGCCAAATTATTAGGAGCTTGAAAATTTATGATGTTTTGTTTTCATCACCAAATAGCAGGATGTACAGTATGAAAAAGATTTGATAGTTGTCAAAAAAGCCATATTTCTCTTTATATACTCTTTCAATTATACTCCCCAAAGTGTTTAGTGTTATTCGTTCACATGCAAGGGAATTGGGGATGTTGCCTGTCCTTTTCGATTATGCTTGGATTTTATCCAAGAATATATTACGGATGATAATATAGTTTGATAAGAGTGCTATATAAGATTGAAGGCTAGAGCAGCTGGCTAGCTCTTTGACTTATAGATTGGAGATCTAGGATCCTAGGATGGATTATTTTTATTATTTACCTTTCCTTGAAAATTATTAATATCATTTACGCCATATGAATGTTAGTTATGTCCCTATTATAATTTTTTTTCGTGAAAAAGTTTATGTATTAATGTATAAAACTTACTTCATACATAGTATTCTTTGCTCAAATACTAATTTGCCTAAGTAAAATTATCATACTTGTATACTATCAATAAGGCGAATTGTTGAATAATTTTGCTTATGATATTACTCCATTCTGGCCACTTTACATGCCCTAGTTGACCCAACAAATGCTCTTACATGTTTCATCAAATGGGATGATATTCTAATATTTTCAAGAAGAGAATGCATCATCTAAAAGTTTGTGCCTTTAATAATGTGATGTGGACCAGTAAATTTTTAATTTTGTTCCTGTTGAAAGAATGTGGACAAATACCAACAGAGCAAATGTCAAACAAACAAGTAGACATATTGCAAAAATTACAGTGATATATGAGCCAGGTGGTCCAGCACTAAAGAGATTTGTGGGCCCACAGTCCACATATATCAGAGTAAACTACTAAAATGGGCCTTGTCACAGTCCACCTCAAAGTAGTAAGCCTACTATGTGTCTTGTGTTATGTGGGGCCCCGGGAAAATTGACCCGGAATTGCATGATAATGATATGTGAAAAAAGGATCGTGTTTTTTTTGTAGCCATGAAACTAAGATAATGTATGACCCAATTTTTAAATATAACGGCTTCTTATTCACACAACTCTTCCCCTCCTTTTTTTTTATTTTTTTTATTTTTTAGTAAAATTTTTTATTTTTATTTAATAATAATCTTATTTTATTGGCTTATTTTATGCGAAACGTCTCTTTGTTACATTGCCACACGTCCTTCAATGTTCTTTCTATTCTTAGTTATTGTACTTGAGAGTTGAGATCCATCTAAGCATGTTACCCATGAAAATGCAAGTTAAGTCCTTAAGCTATAGTGATATGTTTTTTCACAATTAAATAGAAAAATAAACGGTTTTTCGCATGGATTTTGAGGGTTTTTGCTAGGGCATGATCCTCACCTCGTGCTAATTTACCAATCATTTATTTGAAATAAATTGAAAATACCCATGTTTTAATAATTGTGAACTCACAATGGCCTATATGAATCAAAATAAAAAGATGCAAACAAACAATAAAATTGCTTATACTATTTGAAACTTTCTCCTTTTCTAATTACAAGCAAGGTATGACTAAAGGTCTAAAGCTCTATTTCAAACTCACACAAGTAGTCTGAATGATTTCAAATTATAAATAATACTTCCTCCTTTTTTTTTTTTTTTTTAACTTGACATGTTTCATTCATCATGCTTGTCAATGTATAACTTTAATTAACCTTCAATAACTTCAAATCTCGATAAGTAAAAATTATGATAAATAGATTTTATAACAATAGATGATTCTAACTAGATTCCACATAAATATGTATTTTCTTATATATATCTTACAAAAGATGGTCAAAGAAGGAGATGTAATTAGTGTAAAAGTCAAGGTAGGTCAAGTAAAAATGAAAAGAGAATGTATGTATACTACATTGTCATCCATCAACAACCCTAACCTTTATGGTAGAGGCTTAACCATTAACTAGCAATTACCTTTATTTGTAAAAACTTAGCAAGTTTGTTACTAAGGTTAGGGTTTGACTTCCATCAATAATAGTTGGTGGTTTAGCCTCTACTACCATGCATGAAAAGCAATTCGCTGGTGATCATGTGGATAACTTAGGCTAAAGATATCTATACTCCAATTTAGGTCATTGCATTTATCACTATTCTTATTAGTAAAAATCTACTTTAGTAAGAATGCATGTGTTAAGAGCTTAAGTCTATGTTATATATTATTATTTGCTATACTTTGGGGTCTATTTTATTAGGTGTAAAATAAAAGAAATAATTAAAACATGTTACATACGCATTGTATGGCAAAGTATTATTTTACTAAAATGAGAAGTTGGTTAACTGTTCCGTACTGTTTGGCCAAATATCCTCTCAAATTAAGCTAACTTTTAACAAATTTGGTTACATTCTTATCCCCACCAATATAATGGCCACCATATTTATTAAATCATGTGCAATCTGTTTATATAAAGATGTCAGGTTACATCATTTTGCACATACCAAAAATTTTCAATGTATATAAGAAAAAATGTTTCCAAATATTATTAAACATTTAACCAACATATTAGGTTCATCATTTAGCTTTTAATCTAATCTTCAACTAATTTAATTAAAGAATTGAAATTTTCACAAAAAAGAAAAAAAATGAGGTACAACTCATTTAAATTTATTCCTTGAAATTATTTTGAAAAGCACATACTAAAAATAAAAATAAAAATAAAAATTAAAAAAAAAAAAAAGTTAATGGTATATTGGTATGCACAGAATAATTCCCAAAAATAATGCAAGGAACTTAGAATCTTGTGTTGATGAAAAGGGTATAATTAGTTGGCATTTGATCCAAAAATGTAAGCATGTTAGTGACTAATTCATTGCTTATCTCCATGTGAATGAGTGAGGGCATGTGTTTTGTCCCATGATATGTGTGAAAGGACAACAATAATTCAGCCTTCTTTCCCCTAGAGAGAGAAAGTTAGAAGGGAAATTGTAACAATTCCCATATAAATAATTAAATATAATGATAAAATCTTGTTGGTCGTAGAATAGCTAATATTTCTTCCGTCCAAAATTAATAGTCTAATACTCCGTATAAATTTATATTGTTTATTACTTTTAATTGTATGTTGAACAAGAAATTTGTAAACTTTTCCCATTACAATACTAATGTCTTGTGATAAGATATTTATCAACATTTATTTATATTAGTTACTTGGCAAAATTATGTGATATTTGGTATATAGAGAAACGAAAAATATCTTCTTGTAACTTGAAATCTTTGAAATTCTTGTAAGTTTTTTTTTTTTTTTTTTTTTAATAACAAACTAGATACTCAAATTTTTATTGATGAAAACTATGAAAAATAATCCAAAGAAATTAAATTTATATAGAAAACAAATTCAATGAATAATAATATTTCAAGTTGGGGTCAAGTTAAAAACATGTTAAAATTATAAGTTTATAACTATATAAGACACTTGATCCAATTAACTTTTTCACCATAAATCTTAAATAATCTTCCAAGACTTGTTCTTTGCAATAAGCTCGCTTAAGATATGAGTTAGTCATAAATATTTGAAATTTAAGAACAAAGTTTTAAACAAACATAAGAACAAATTCATTTATAAACAAATATGGAGATTGGCTATAGTCAAAAACTAGTTTTCCAAATACGTTGGCCAGAGGAGATACAGAGAATATACTTTGTAATTTTGTATATGACAACCACGGAAATATTAAAAAAAGACCTTTTAATTTTATCATTTTGGCAAAACAATCAGTATTATCAAAAATAAAAAGGGACCGGACAACATAACAACTAATACTGAGTGGTGGAAGTGATAAAGAGAAGAAAAAAAAATGATTAAATCGACAGAATTGATGACTTCAGAGCATTAAAAGCTAGAACCTTAAAACATTCAGCCCATCTAATAGCACTCTGCATGACAAAAGTATTAGACTATCTAAATGAAGTCACAAAAATTCTTTTGAACGGTATAAGCAGCTCACAAGCATTCTGAAGAGTTTAAACATTACAAACTCAACTAGATATTCACTACAGCAATTGAATACCTCATAAGAATATAAACATCTTGGCTGGAAAAACTATATGAGAGAAGATCAGAAACACCCACTTCTTAGTTCTTTATGTACCCGCCGCATGTTGCAAAGTGATGGATGTGATACTATGTGTAACCCGCGATTCAAATTTACAAATTCCAATGAACGAAGACAAAAAAAAAAACAAAAAAAAACAAAAAAAAAAACAGGAAAAAAAACCTAGATAAAATGACCAAGTAGTGTGTGCCGATCTTTGTTACTAGAGTATTGTAAATCCAAGCAGCAACTCTGACCAATGCTACGACCCCCAAATTTCTACTTACTGAATTACAGAAAACGGTTCTTGCAGATCTTTGTTCACCTACAGAAACTTCGACATCCAATTGAATAATTTTCTCCTAGGCAGCAATCCCTGAAACTACACAACAAATAGCATACGTCAGTACAAAGAGAATTGACGTGAATTTTAAGCACCACAGTTGTATATTTTAGGATAGTAGATACAATTCAGTTAATCTTATATTCTTTCTGTCACCAGCTTCTGTCTTATGCAGAAAATAGGAGTAATCTTTCTTTGCATCAAAAAGGATCAACATGACTCACGCACTTTACGTCAAAAAAACTCTACTCTAATGAGACTCCAATAGATCAGTGATATTTAAGTACAGTGTCATACAACGGTGGCATTTTTGTGTAAATTTCTTGGCGATGTGTGTGGAAGAGGGGGATGGGATTTTGGATGAACTAACCATTCAAACCGAGGAAACCCATCTTTCAAGCTAAGTCCAATATGTTCCTTAGGTAATTTAGATTAAGTTAATGAAGAAGATTCCTTTACAAGTGTACCAGTGACAAAATCTAAGGCATGTTGGCAGTCGGCACCATGTCAATTACCCATATAAGTATACTACAGATCATTATAGAGTAGAAACAAAAAGGATTCTTGAACGATGGATTGAATGGAACATTAAAGCAACAAGTTCAGCACATTCAGCTAACTTTGTTTATAAGTTTTCTTAGTCTACAAGATTGTACCAGACAATTTAGTTCAAAATACATCTGACATATAGGCCTTTGTGTCTTACTCACTAACCAAAAACAGCAGGTAGTTAAGGCAAGGGCAGCCTATGGCACTGACATGGACAGATGACCACCAGCATTAAACTTTTCAAAGATAAGCAACCAGACATTCAGATCAACAGATACCAATAACCAAACTAGTTATCAAAAAAACAAATGAATATTATATCTTAAATTTTGAGATTTACGTTTTAGACCAACATCCACTTCAACAAACCAGGAACTCTGCTTAGTTAACTCTTGATATTAATCTGCCATACCCTCAAATAACATCAAACCCAAGACAAGCCCCTGAGTCCTGACTCAAATCAAAGCCACTAAATTATGCATCTAACAAGAGTAAGTTGTTGATATTAAATGTATTTTCTTCACTTCGTAAATTTCATTAAAAGTGTTGCAGGTTATTTAGATGGAGAATAGCTTTTTCAGAGAAAATTATCAATAGTAATGACATCTTTTGAAATAAATGAACTAATTCAGCAAGGACTATACACATAGCTTATTATTTAACCACATCTTGTACACTTGTTAGTTGCCACTAATGACTAAGCTAATTGGTTTTAATGCTTGCACTTCCTTTCTTTTTGCAATGATTCACAAATTATTGCTAAATCGGAAAATATTTGGAGCTCTTTTAAGTTTTTTTTTTTTTTTTTTTTTGAAGGAAAAGTATGTTAATACCCAATTGAGAAGCAAAATCAATAAAAGTAGGGGAAAGACGTGTCCAAATGGTTAAATTGTGTGTGTTAGCACGTCATAAAGAGAACAAGCTCTTACCTCTATTTTGCTATTGACAAATGCTATAACTACCAACACAAACCAGCAGGATTATTGAGTGGAACATCTGAAACTGAATTTCCAAGTCCAAATTCAAATGAACCAGATCCCTTTAGTCCCAAAGACGGTAAAAGCAAGGATTGCTCATTCCCACCACCAAGGAAATCATCAAACTTAGCATCAAATCCACCATCTAATGAAGGAAAAGATGATACAGGCTGTGTCCTGGTTCTGATGTCTCTGCCATACAATCCCATTGCTGATCCAAGATTGTTATCTTCCCGACCATAGCTAAGGCTGAGACCATTTGAGACAGAAGCACGCCCTCCACCTTGAACAGGAATGGCAGAAGTATTCCAAATGAACTCACTATTCTTAAGAGCATCTGCCTCAATATCCCTAAAGTTCATAGAAGCATTGTTTCCAGTGATAGAAGTGTCAATGATGCTCCCATTTCCATTTCCATTTCCCCACAAGCTCCAGGAAGATGAGCCAATGGTGGAAGCACTACCCCTGTTCACCCCATCAAACTCGGCAAAGCTGTCGTGTCTATTGATGTTGCCATTATGTAATGCACTTAAACCTTGCTCAAAGTTCAACTTTGGAAAGAGATTTGCAGTTTCCCCAAAGCCTGGACTCATTCTTGGCTCATAGTTCAATGCACTACCATAACTAGAAGGGCTAAATGAAGGGAATCCACCTCGAGCAAAAGGCATGGGACTTTGGCGTTCATCAATTTTCAATCCATGTCCTCCAATCGGGCTTGGATTGTAGCCCTGCGTATAGCCATTGAGGAAGCTATTAACTCTAGTAAGTCCACCACTACCACCACCTAAAGGACTCCTAGTTGGCCCTGGTGATAGCTCTTTGGGAACAGCTCGTTTGACCTCAACCATTTTACCATTGAGTTCATGAAAGGTTTTCATCAGTGCTCTCTCAACTGCATCTTCTGAGTCAAAGGTTATGAATCCAAAGCCTCTTGGCCTTTGGGTGTTGTGATCATACATAACCACAACATCAGTGATGATCCCAAACTGATCAAAGTACCTTTTGAAGTCCCCTTCAGTCACAGTAGATGGTAAGCCCCCCACAAATATCTTCTTTGTGCGAGTAGGCACTGGCGATGCACTAGGGCTGTTGTGGTTTCTGGTCAGAACATGCTGATCATCTCTAGGAACAGCCTTCTTTGCCTCAACCTGATCACATACAATTAATTGAACTGTGTAAGTTAGCATCTCAAGCTTCTGAACTTAATTTATCACAGCATTGTGGAACATCAACCAACACCTTAAACGTGTACTTGAGTTCAAAAACTGATTGGCATTTTACAAGGCAGATGCCAATAAGAAATTATTAAAATACAATGGCAAGTTGTCAATCAGGAGCTTCAAGAGTAGATTAATTAAAGCACATTATACACCATCAGTAATCGCGATGTCATGTTAAACTACTTCACATGATTAAATTTAATCGAGCAACATCATCAGAACTTATTATTCTCTGTTAGCTTTATAGAATTCTTTCATTTTTCTCTCTTATTATCAATAGATAGATCCATGACAACAAAAATGACTACCATTAACATACAAATCTAGCTCAATTCTAATGAATTGAGCACCTCTAAACTATGTATGTGACATGTAAGTACAAACAATCAAATTATACCTCCACCATAAATGCAAACAATCACAATTTGCACTTCCTATATCAAAAAGGCAACAATTATTAATACATAGAACATACACCAAAAAAAAAAAGAGAATCAATATATGAAATAGGCAAACTTCTTACAGTTCTACCATCTATCATATGCTTCTGCCTCACAACTCGCTCAGCAACAACCGGGTCAGCATAGATAACAAAGCCGAACCCACGAGCACGGCCCGTTGCTCGATCCTTCATGATCACAGCCTCAACCACCTCACCAAATGTTTGAAAATACTCCCTCAGACGATCTTCATTTGTATCCCAAGAAATCCCACCAATGAAAAGCTTCCCTGGCTCCATCTTCGAATCTATCAATAATGTTCAACACCCAAAACAACATCAAATATCCATACACTTAAAAATAAAAGCTTCTGCATAATTCCACCCAAAACATGTCCGAACCACATAATAAAACTATAATATAATCACCACAGGGTAAATAGCATATAAAACAACGGATCCAACACAACTAAAACAGCAACAATATGCTGAATCCATATCATATATTATATCAAACAATCATATTATTATTAAAAAGTTCAGAATTATGGTTAAAATCAAATGGGTATTGCTTAAATCAATATAAAATCAGCAGATCCTTCATGGGTAAGTGCTAGATCAATGATCAATCAAATCCATAATCTGGGATTTCAATAAATAAAAAAAAAAACCCACAAAAGTTCAATCAAAACCTAGAAAAATTCAATCAAAACCCACGTAATCAAAGTTAAAAACTTTAAATTAGAAATGAAAAATTGCAGAAATCAGTACCAGATTGTTAAATTTGTAGGGGGTAAAAACCCAATAAATATAAATTAATGGATCTAAGAGGAGGTTTAAAACAAGAACAAGAGAGAGATTAGGTCCTCCTCCCTTCTTCTTCTTCTTCTCTCCTCAACCCCCCCTTTTTTTTGAATTTATTGGTGTTCTTACAAAATTCTGAAAGAGGAGGAAAATCTAATGGAAGAAAAAACAGAGGATTGAGAAAGAGAAGAAAGAGGGTATTATATGTAAAGAGAGCTTAAAAAAAAAGGGGATAAAAATAATAAATGGGCAGAAATGGGGAGGAGAGAGAGAGGGGTAAGCTTTGGTTATCCTCTCGTGGAGAAGAGGAGACGAAGAAAGATGGTGACTTGCCAGTTTTTAAGTTGGATTTCAAAAGTTGAGTGTATGCCTCTTCTTTACCTCCTCCTTTTTTTTTTCTTTTTTTTTTTAAAAATCTTTTTTTTTTCAAAATTTTAAAAATTTGTTTGTAAAATACAAAAATAAAATCTTAAAAATAAAATAAAATAAATAAAACACAATTATTACCTTGAGAATCAAGGTTAATAGTGAGTAAAGTATGGATATTTAATAGTGAAATGACCTAAATTTTGAAATACGGAGTATGTAAATTTAATTTTTTTTTTTACAATTTGATATTTTGTTATACAGTGAATAGATCTCTCTTATTAACATGATTGTATGAGATACTATGATTTGTGATTGTCTAAAATCCCCCGTTCCCACCTAAAAAAAATTAAACACTGCATAAATAATTTGATAAATGTGAAGGTTCAAATATATCCAATCTTGATTATTCGTAACAACTCCAAATATAGTGTATAATATTTTCAAAGAATTCATTTCGTAGAAAAATATTTTATGAGATAAACAAGAAGATCTTATTTGACACGACTAACAATTGCCATCATACACATGTTAAGAAACAAGTTGTTTGCTAACTTATGAGAAAAAAAAACCTAGTAAAATAGGGTATATATATTAAAAGATAAAAGATGGGCCTTATAGGGTTCATATTAGCCCTAATTGTATGCATAAATGATAGGGAAGGAATCTTTTCATAATTACATGACCATATAATATAGGAAATCTCATTATATAAACTTCATATTTCATATTTATCTATTATAAGAAAACTTTAAATAAAAAAGAATAACCAAGCTCTCTCGGCATGCTACAAACATAGCAAAGTTGCAACTAATTAACAATTTACAAAATAGAAAAGTGTAGCAACTAAAAAGAAACGAAAGAAGTATATACTATCTATTAAATGACAATAGCTACTCGGATGACGACCGGAATACCACTACAAATTGAAATTCTAACAATTGGAGTGGAGAAGCAATGAAACAAGCGATAACCTCGCCAAAGTGACGCTATAACTAATCAAATACACGACTTTAAGGAATCTAATATTAGAAAATTGACTTAGTAATTCAAAATAATTATGTTTAAGTGAATTGCTTTGCAAACTACTAACCTTCAAAGCTTCAATTATTATGTGAGTTTATTAAGAATTCACTTGGGGGGCTAGTTGTATAGGCTGATATTGGTGCCGATATAATAATACTGGATCCAGGTCAGGCCAGGTCACACCTCGATAACTACTTTAAATAACGACGTTTAAGTCATATCAACATATTTACAGCATCATGGTTAGCCACGTGGTCAGTTACTTTCAACACATGGACACTTGCCACTTGTTCGACATGCAAGTCACGTGGCCTAATTGCTTTCCTATAAATACCTATGATTTACTCATTTCATTGATTGTGTAGGTACTTAGCTTGACAATGCGGTTTTATAAATTTTGGATACGGGTATCGGAGCACATCCGAAACAAATAGTGCAATACAAAAAGGAAAATTACATAAAGAATGATTTAATAATCAATTTTACTCATAGGGTTGCAATTGTTGTCCATACAACAAACCAATGCATCGTGCTATTGCTCAATCCAAACACTACTTTTTTTACTAATGATAAAATACACATTATTTATGATGAAAATATACCTTAACGCTGATTGTTAGGTGTAAACATGATATATGGTGAACCAATACATTACTCATGTGATTATACCTTAATTGTAAATAGACTACTCCATACAATTGATAAAACGCGTGCACATATCTGACATATACTTGACTAGAATTATAAAATAAAAACGTCAGTGTGTATATTTATTATTGTTTGGGGTGTTAAATAGGGACTAATAAACCCTTGATGTAAATACGTGACATACTTTTATCAAGATGTAAACATTTGAATTAAAGAGCATTAGATCATAGTCCAGTAGTTGAAGTATCACCTTCGATTCTAGTATTCCATGGATTAAGTCATACCTAGATAAGTCGGACACACTCGAACTCATTTTATTTTCTCTTTAATCAAAATTAGGCCCACTACATGACCTTGAAAAAACTATTCGAAAATTTGTTCGTTCATTATTCCATTCTTTACTAGTAGAGGTAGTAGCTAAAAACAAGGTTCTCTTACTTTTAACAAGTTTTTGTCATAGCTTTTACTCCCACCAAATCACAGGATTCCCATAACTTTAGTCAACTATCCATTGGATCGACGCCAAATAATTCTGTTACATAAAGTCCTTAATTAGGGTTGATACCTTAAACTTGTAATCAAATTCTGTATTTTTTTTTGGTTGAAGGGCTGATTAAATACTAATTACATCATTATTCGATCTTGCAACTTAATTTCTTTACATCAATAATATATATAGTAACGACAATAAAATTAAATAAGATAAAAGAATAACGTTATATAAGAGTGTGAATACCTTTCTCACAAGAGGAAATAATACTACGTAATAATGTGATGAGCCGTTATCATTTCATTTAAGAATTAAAGCAACAAGTCCATAGTAATTAAATACATCTTCTTTAATTAGGCAAAATATAGAGAGGCATAAAAATACTTAATATAGTAGGGTGTATAAATCGGCGGCCTGCTGCATAAGGTTGGTATTTATACCAAAATTGCCAACCTAATAATCACCTGGCAAAAAATTAGTGTTACCCTTACATACTCCTATATATTCCTATATTTAATTAATGAAGACAACATAACATAACATGCTTTGTTTCCTTCATGTGGGAGCAAGGCATAAATGATTTGCGTTGTCACTATGCTAATCTATCTCTTAATTTAATCTATCATTTATTGTTTTAATGCAATATCTATTATGGATAGCTTTATACGTTAATACACCATTTTTGAATGTTAATTCGATAGACCATGTTCATATGATTTTGGATTAGTTTAACTCTATTTGGATGAGATAGAACATGCAAAGTCAAATCAAGTTTAAATAATTATATTATAATAAAATTTTACATTTATCATGTTTTATCTATTCTACGCACGGTAAATGGATATATATATATATATATATCCAAGTCAATATCCAAGTCAATATTTAGTTCATTTATAAGACTATTGGGTGTCTTTATGAAATACAAAGTATGCAATCATTTATGTGTAGAATACGGAGTATGACACTTATGACTTAAATAGGTTGATTAGGTCCAATCAGCTGTAAACATTGAATAAAATCAGATATAATGAGATTCAATTAGATCAAATAAGTTCATTTCAAGTGAAAAAAACACACCCGTACATTGAATACTCATCGAGTCATCGTATGGTAGTAGATTCAAGAAGCTTGGGATATATATGCAAGAGTTATACACAAATCATTAGATTCCTAAGAAGGTTCATATAGTTAAAGATAGCTAACTATTGATGTAAAAAAAAATGAACTTTATTTAACCTAACTTTATAATCAGTATTATATGATAAAAGATTAACAAGCTAAGGAATTGAAGAAAAAGGGGAAAGTGGTAGCAAGATGTGTGAATAGCACAGAAGGGATAACTTTGTGCCTCCACTTCCTGAAAGAGAATTAAACAGCTAATTAAAATCCAATCAAAGATGTAAATTAAAATGTTTCCAATTAGCCCACTGTACCACATGTATCATGTATGTATGTGTAATCAAATTATGCTGCCTTTGCTTGCTAATCACCACAACATATATTATAATTTTCTAACCGAATATCTATTCTGATTCTTTAATTATTGGAGACTTCTTTTCTTTATTTATAAATTAAAACTAATTTAAATTATTATAAAGGCGGTTCCATTTTATGTAATATATTTGTTGAATTGACCTTTTCCTCAAAGCCTATTATATAATATAGTACTACTGGCTTAATCTAATACTTAATTAATATATATAGGGATTTAGATGCAATGTACCGATTAGTTTTACCCTCTTCTTGTCAAATACTACTAATAAATTAATTACAGTTTAATCTTGTGTATATTATTGTTTTAAACATGTGACTCATACTGCTATTTTGTTCTATATATAGCTTTTTTTTTTTAAAAAAAAAAAAATAATCTAGAAGGAGACATGTTCTACTTCCTCTGGTTTTTGTACGATAAATCATTTGTTTTAATAAGTCGATATGAAAAAATCAAGTGTAATTTGATTTGAACGATGCTACTAAACTCATAGTTTTTGCTAATTTTACACTACGTATATATGTAAACCATTCATTTGTTTCAAGAGATTATCAATGCAAGAATCCTTGTTTAACATTTTCCCGTATTATATATACCAATATGATAATTCAGCCGATAATTACCCATCAAGAGTCTTTAGCATTTGGTTTCATTTGTATTATGGTTAGTACAAGAGGTTACAACTTACTAGAGCTGTTAAACAGAACATTAGGACACATATATTAGGTAATGAATTTGTACTTATCATATCTGACTAAGATTTGCTCCTTTACAGAGATAAGAATAACGTGGAAAGGCAATTTAGGCATCTTTTTAAAATATGGGGCTAAACTTTAGGGATCAAATTCGCCTCATGCAGAAAACACAAGGTTTTATTTTTATATTTAGTGCAACAATTTTTAAGTACTACGTATTATTTCATGAGTAGTTCACCCAAAGTATATACTAACTTTGATTAGAAAAAGTAAAGGCTCATAATAATTGAACTTTAAGTAATTTCTAATTTTGTTTAAAAATGGTGTTGAGTATTTAACTACAGCCGCCTTTAGTTTATTACTCGTATTGATCATGAATGTATATCTAGTTAGCCTATTAGCACAATTATTAAACATTAATGGGTATTATCAAATGATACAATGATATATGATAAATTAATGCTACATAGTAATGAAAAATAAGTCCTTATGTGTGTGTTTATTACTCATTGTCTCGATTGGTTTGGTTGTTCATTAAAAAAAGTTACCATGCATGTAATATATGGTACTATATGTTATTAGCTAGTGTAATAGAGCAAATAACAAAAGTGTAGATCAATTGGTAAGTCATTTGCACTCTAATTGATAGGTTGCAAGTTTTAAGTCTAAATAAATATTCATATTGACCAGCAACTACTCAACTAGTTCAATGATCAATATAATATTGTCAATAGGGGTGGTTGCTTCTTGCTTCAGTTTGATGCATTTAAGGACATACAATCAATTTGACATTTTGGCAACTATGCCAAATTGCACAGCATAAAAATTGTTTTGGTGCAATATTTTCCAATTTTCATTATGTAATAGGGAGAAGTATTGGCGCATAGGGCCTATGTGCCAATGAAATAAATAGGATGACATTTTTGTAAACAATGGGAACATGAGAAAAAGCGGTGGTGCAAAATTTGATGGAAAAAAGTATCACTACATGCATAATGGTACATTAAATGTATCACTGTACCATTAAGGGAGAGAAAAAAAATAATAAAAATCCCAAAATGCCCTCCTATGTGCTTGTGAAACACATAGACCCTATGCGCCTATATGCACTCCAATGTACTAGGAATATTATCTTTTTGACTTTTTGGGTTAACAATAACTTATACGGAGTAGCTTTGAATTTCAACTAGGAACTTTGAACATAACCTTGGAAGTGAAGTAGTGAACATAACATTTCCCTCACATAAATTAATTATAAGTAGTAGAAATTAAAAAATTTGCGAAAGTTAGATCAAAAACCTAAGTTGGATGATATCCTTTATAACTGGACTAGGTTAGAACTCGTGCGATGCACGGTTTATATAAAATCTATTTTTATAATTTGTACATTTTTTAAAAATAAATAAATATAAACAAGAATTATGCACCTTGTACAAAAATATCTGTACTTTTAAAATTTTAGATTTTCATTAAAATTATGATATAATTCCTGTTCAACGTCGCCTAATACATATTTCAATGTAGGAGTCTATTTATTAGTGTGCTACTTAAAATTATTTCATTTTTTAAGGATAAATTGATAGGTTGTAGTTGTAACGTAGAAGCTTTTAAGGATAAAATTATTCAAATTTCAAAATTATTAAATATGATAGCTCCACAAAAAAAAAAAAAAAAGGATGACATCATCCTTGCATTTAGGCAGGAAAATTTTTATTATGGGAGTGACATAGTAATAGTTAACAGATGTGATATCATGTATATAAGCCAACAACAGAAACATATCAGCCAACGGGACATAACAAACTTTAATAAAAACGTATCAGTCAACACAAGGAACATATCAGCCAACAAATGAAACATATGAGCCAACAAAAGGAACATATCATCCAACAAAAGATACATATCAGCCAACAGAAGAAACATATCAGCCAACAAAAGGATGAAATCAGCAAACAAAGGCAACAAGTAAGCCAACAAAATAAACACATCAGCCAACAAAATGAAACATATAAGCCAACAATTAAAATATACCTATCAACCAACAAAATAAAGCTATCATCCAACTAAAGAAACATATAAGCCAACTGATGTCTGATAGCAGCCAACAAAAGGAACATATCAAAAAAAAAAAAAAAAAAAAAAACAAAACATATCAGCCAACAACAAGAATATATTAGCTGTAACACCCTAGAAATTTCTTTCCTTTAAAAAACCTGTTTTGCCCTTTTAAAAATACGAAATAGGAAAATCTAAGACATTACCGCCACCGTGAAAACGGCTAAGGCAATTATCAAAGACACACAGCGGAAGACTATCTTTAAAACTATCCAAAACAAGTCAACTTAAAAGTCAAACCAAAAGAAAGTAAAGTCAAACCAAAGTTAAACGAAGTCAAACAAAGTCAACCTACAACTTGGAACCATTGTAGGCCCTCGTGAAAACCGAACAATACTCAATACCCTTTGCGTTAGTTTCACAAGCATGATAAAATAAATAATATTCAAAGCAAATAAAACACAACATATACCTATGGAAACTAAGCATGATTCGCTCTTCACTCATGCTCATCATGATAATGCTCCATCACCTGAAAAGCTTCTCTTTACTTGTCCCCACTACTCGCCATTAGAAATGGGTCGTCGTAGGGCCAAGGTAACGACAAGGCCAAACAAACATACAACACACAATCAACAATGTTGAGTACATGCGTAATAAAATAACACTAACATGCTTTCATCCTATCATCACTCAACTTACCTTGTTGCGCCTGTGAATAAGCATACAAGACATCCAACATTTAACTAGACAAATACCAATTTCCATTTAATTTGATTACGCATCGAACGGGTTTCAACCAAATCTCTGCCCCAAATAAATTGAGGTAAACTACACCGGGAGTTAACCGGGTAGGCAAATGTCACATGAGGTGACTGGACGTCCTGCGCATAAAATAAATAAAAAGGAAAATACAGTGTCTTGTACTCCCAGTAGAAGTTATGGTCAAATATAAAGTCGCATAACTCCCCCCATATGTTCATACTTGAGGTATATATGTTCCAAGAGTTTTGGTGCGTAATCTCTTTCACTTTACGCTACTTACGTATTAACTTGTGATGACTTCAACCAATCAATCAAGAGCAAACATCATAACAATCAATACAAACTTCTCAATTCATTCTTGAATTAATTAGTGAGCACATTCTATTTATTAGTTGAACCCTTTTTAATCTACATCGGTGTCAAAGACACCTTAAACGCATAATGCGCCGCAAATCCTATCCTTCGGTGTTGGAAACACCTTAAGTGCACATAAGCACCGCAATACAATTTATTCTTGTGTACTAAGACACTTGATAGCTCAATTCTCATGCTTAAAGCATCAATACAAATTATATGAACCATTATAAAATTCCTTTTTAGTATTCCAAACCAACATAAACACTTAGTTTAATTAAACATGCTTTCCATCATGCCAATAATAAAAGTGTGGTTCATATTCAACATGCCAACATAATTAATTCCAATCATCGATTCATCATAAATAATTTATACATCACGAATCATTCACCAACATCAATCATACAACAAATTCCAACCAACACCTATCATGATACTACTTGAAATTAATTTATCAAAGCCTAGCATGCTTCTACATACTCAAATAATTACCGAGTACGCGAATGTAACTTAAATATGATTTCAAATTCGCCATGACTAAATAAAATCACTCACTTGGAAAACTCCTACAAACCAAAATTACAAAGAGGCATTAATACCTATTCCACACACATTTCCAGCAATATATACACTCTTTAAATCACTTCTAAACCCTCTAAAATAAGCTGAAATTTAATTTAAAACCCTTACTTTTATTCCCAATTAATGGGTAATTAAAAATCCTTTCAAGAAACTTAATTAGCTTATATACAAAAATTCCAGCTTTATTAAATCATTTAAAATTGCTGTAATTGTGTTTTAAAACACTTATTTCAATAATTTAAATCACCCATAAACAATTTCCTTCAATATACGTAAATTTAGAAACCTAGGGTTTGTAATTTGGGGCTTTTTAATTCAAAACCAAATCTGAAAATTTATATAATCATACTTAAAATCAACCATCATAAAAATCATCACAAAACCCAAAAACAATAATTAGATCAAGGGTGGATTTAATTAAAAAAATCAAAAGAAGAATTTTTATTTGAAAGCGGCGCACGACCACCAAGGCCGGGCTGCTGTCGCGCCTGCTTGGTGGCCGCCGCTGCCGGCGAGTGCTGGTGGTGGTGGTGGCAGCCGGCCGGTGGTGGCGGTGGCGGGCCGGTGGTGGTGTGTGTGGGTGGTGATGAAACAAAATAAAAAAATAAATAAAAAAAGGGAAGGGGAAAATAAGAGAGAGAAAGAGAAAATAAGAGGAGAGAGAAAGAGAGTGTTACCTTGGGTATTCTCTACCTTTGGCAAAGTTTAATTTGCCCATGTGATGGGTATTTATACTCCCTTTCTAAAACCCTCCTAGACTTAAATTCCCTTTTTACTTTTAATGATCCCTTTTCAATTCAAACTAACATTTTGACTTTACTTAAATACCATTGACTTTAAAAATTACCTTTTTATAAAATTATATGCCCCAATGATTTTAAATTATAAAATAAAGTATTTCCAAATCATGAAATAAAATATTTTCAAGATTGCTAAATAAATAAATTGGACCTTTAATTTAAAGCTAAAACTCTTTAATTTAGTAAAACATCATAAATAATTCATTTTAACTTATTTAAATACTTTAAGAAATACTTATTTAAGTTAAAATACGTATAAAAATACAGGGTATTACATTAGCCAACACAAAAACCATATCAGCCAACAAATGAAACATATCAGCCAACATATGAAACATATCAGCCAACAAGTAAAATATATCAGCTAGCCTGCCGCACGCATAATTTGCATGCGGCACTCCGCACTCAATACCTTCTCTACAAAATAATACTTCGTATCACTTCTAGTATTCTTACCCACAATCAATTTGTTTTAGGTTGGATTTGATTCCAATGTTTAGAAAACCAAACCAAAGCACAATTCATATTTGTTTGAAACCTAAATCAATCCATGATTCTAAAACCACGATACCAAATCAAACCACATCCTAATTCTAATACTACGTAGGAGTATATGAATAAAAGGAATTAGCTTTAAGTAGAAAGCTCTAAAAACCAATTCTTGAAATCCTACTCATTTTTCTTTACAAAATTTTCAAACATAACTATTTTTTTTAAAGAAAATTAATTCATTAATAGAAGAGTCATACGACATCTACAATATAAATCAAAACTAGCAAATACAATACAAACCGAATCAAATAATATTCTAATTTGACAAAACTACGATCGTTGTTATCTGGATCTGACATTTCTAAATGCCCTCTTTCACACCGCTGTTTGATACAGCTTTTCACGAGGGGTTTTTTCGATCTATTGTAGTTTTGGAATCGAACACCATTCGATACAATTGATTGTAGAGGTAGAATTAATCTCCATGGCGACACAGCACAACTCTTCATCAAAAAATCAATTTTTCTTGTGAAATTAAAGAATATAGCCTCAAAACTCTCAAAAAGAGAGAAATTAACCCGATATACGAGTAGAAATAACCCGATATTCGGGTAGAAAAACTCTCAAATAGAGAGACTATAATTATTGTGAGCATAAAGTAAAAACTAGTAAGAAACTAAGAGATTAGGGGCTTACCATCGACCAAAAGGTTGGTGGTAGCCCCTAGAAACAAGAATTTTTTTTAGGGTTTTTGAGGAGGAAGAGAAAAAGAGGAGAGGCAGAAGTTGTATAAAGTATTTTTAATTGCTTCAAACATAACTATTTACCCACTATCAAAGATTATTCCTTTTCGTAAAGCTTAATCCCGTGCATTAGTATAGGTACATTCTGATATCTTTAATTAAGAAACTTGAACTATTTCTTTAATGCTAACATAAAATGTCAATTGACAATCAAATTGATTAATTAATTCAACCAATTTTATTTCTCCATTATTTTTTTTAGGGTTTTAGGTCTAGTTTGGAGGGAAAGAAAAGAATATATAAAAAAAAAAAGAAAAAAAAAAAAAAAAAAAAAACTCCTGAAACCTTTTTTTTCCTATCCAAAATTCTGCAACTCATTCTCCCTCTCTCTAAAACCTCTCATCTTCAAACTCCATAACCATGTCTAAGCTCTAAGCTCAGTTTCTCTCTCCTCCTCCCCAGAAAATTCTGGGGATGTTAAATACTTTACCTAAAATGAAATCCCTAATTTCTCCCAAAACTTTCTCTCTCCTCCCTAAATCATCACCTTCCTTCCAATTCTGTTTTCAGCGCCCTTTTTTCCTCCATAAAACCCCTAATTTTCTCTCTCCTCTTCCACCCTTTTCCCCAATGTTGCGTACTCTTCGTTCTTACGCTTCTTCTTCTTCTCACCAAGCGCAGCAACATCCTTCGTCTTCGCCGCCGCCGTCGTCTTGCGGTGAAATTCATGTTATTGTGGGCCCCATGTTCGCCGGAAAAACTACCTCCCTTCTTCGCCGTATCCAATCAGAGTGCAGCAATGGCAGGTTATTCCCTGATGATTTTTTTAATATATTTTTGAATTTTTATAATTTTATGTTTGAAATATTAATTAGGGATTTAGGGATTAGGGATTAGGCATTAATTCTGGTGCTAAAATCTGCATCTTTATTATTTAAGACTTACTAAGTACTTCAAAATTACGTTACAGGGTTGCAATTTGTCTGGTCGATTTTTTGTTGTTGCTTGTACTTTGTGAAGTATTATTAATTGTATGCTTTGTTATGCGGAGTATGGTTTATGTGATCGAATATTGTTTAATTACTATGAATATGGCCACCCTTGTCGTCTCGACTCTCAAAATGATTGTTACATACTTACATTATCTCGACTTCTCACAATTAAGGATATATAGGACTTTGTTTAAAGACTCTTGATAATAGTTGTATTATTTTACACCCTTAACATCATACATTATGATTAATGATATATTGCGTGATCCTTTCATAAATTTTTACTTCCTTTGCCTCACTTTAATGAGCCACATTTTTGTTAGAGGTCGTTTTCGAAGAATTGGGTCAGGGTATCATAATTTTCCTTGATGAAATATACAATTGTCAGGAACAGGCATCTTATTATGGAGTATAATGGTATTGCAGTACACATAGTAATGGTAGTATGGGTAAAATAATATTCAACTCATTAGATATGCTTAGTATTTTGAAACATCCTGAAGTAGAATGTGCCCTTCTAAAGTGTTAGGAATTAATACTATTTTAGAATGATGGAAATTTTTACTGGGAATCCAAAAGTAATTTATGTGGCTTTCTTAGAGAAGAACTGAGAAAAGAAAAATCATAGTATGGAGTACTTCATTAGCTTTTTAGCTGAAATGCCAGCAATGTAGGAGAAGCATATTTAGCTTGTTATAAGTGAACATTGGAATTAGGATTTGTATAAGTACCATTTTTAGACAAAAAAAATTAAGAATAATTCTTTTGGGCTGGCCTAGAAGAGAAATAGTGGCATGTTCATCCTGGAACAGCCTCCTCAGTATGTAGTAGTGATGTTTTAGCTTGTCATCGTCCCTAGTTGTCTAGGAAACACCGAGATTGTAGTTTCGGCTGCTGGATATCGTTGTCACGGTTAGTATCTCCCAGTTTTCAGGCTGCACAAGTGAAGAGCTCTTCCCTAGTGTTGGATAAAACATTGAAGGACCTTTGTTACTCTGGAAGATTGATGGAAGCAGTTGGGCTACTGTGCCGTTCTGAAGCAATTGTGGACTGGCACACTTATTCTCTCTTGCTGCAAGAATGTATACATGGAGGGACATATGAGTGGGGCAAAATAATTCATGCCCATATGGTTATTGTTGGGTTTACTCTCAATGAATACCTGAAGACCAAATTGTTGATTTTGTACTCTAAGGCAGGGAAGTTGGGGACTGCCTGCATTCTCTTTGATGAATTGCTAGAGAAGAGCTTAATTTCATGGAATGCAATGATTGCTGGGTATGTACAGAAAAGCATGGAAGATGTGGGATTGAGTCTGTATCACAAGATGAGGCATATTGGTGTGACTCCAGATCAATTCACCTTTTCATCTGTGTTCAGAGCATGTGCCTCACTGGCGATTCTGGAACAAGGAAGACAAGCCCATGGTGTCATGGTAAAATGTGGAATTGGGAAAAATGTTGTCGCTAATAGTGCACTCATGGATATGTATTTCAAATGCAGTTGTTTAATTGATGGACATCAGGTGTTCGTTAAATCTTCTGATAAGAATGTAATCACTTGGACCGCCCTCATATCTGGATATGGACACAATGGAAGGACTGGTGAGGTTTTGGATCTTTTTGACAAAATGATAAAAGAAGGTCTGAGACCTAATTACGTCACTTTCCTTGCTGTTCTTTCTGCTTGTAGCCATAGAGGTCTTGTTGATGAAGGTTGGAAATATTTCTTACTAATGAAGAATGACTATGAGATCCAACCTCATAGAAAACATTATGCCGCTATGGTTGATCTTTTAGGACGTGCTGGGAGGTTAGAAGAGGCTTATAATTTTATTAATAGCTCACCTTGTAAGGAAAATTCTGTGGTCTGGGGTTCTTTGCTTGGAGCTTGTCGTCTTCATGGTAATGTTAAGCTGCTGAAATTATCAGCAATGAAATTTTTTGAGTTGGAGCCTGAAAATGCAGGAAAATATGTTGTTTTATCCCATACTTTTGCCTCCCATGCAATGTGGGAAAATGTGGCTGAGGTTTGGGGTTTGATGAGAGACTTTGGGGTGAAAAAGGATCCTGGATATAGTAGAATTGAGCTCCAAAATGAAGTCCATTACTTCTATAAGAGTGACAACACACACAAAGATACTAAAGATATATATGAAATGCTTAAAGTTTTGACTTGTGCACTAGTGGACAGTGATTACATTCCAGACTTAAGTTTTGAGTAATCTTAGTTGTACAACTATCAAGATTTTCAAGTCTCAGAATTGGTGATATCATTAAAGGGTTGCTTTGCTGGTTGTATGTGAGCAATCTAAAACATGTAAGATAATTACCTTTTCTCTCTTGTTTTGCTCATATTTTTCATTTCAGCCAACTTACCCGAATCAAAATAATGACCTCTGTGTATATCTCATGTTTTCAAAGCAAATCACTTGGATGCTATGCCCAACAACTCTTCTGTATCCTTGAAATCTTTGGCAAGTATTATAGGAATGGAACCTCAACTATTAAGGTTAGGTTAAAATGTTATGAGGATGAGAAATAGATTTGTTGAGCCTTTGGAACCTCCTCTACCAGTCCCCCCACCCCCCCCCCTCTTTTTTTCCGCTCTTTCATTCTCCTTTCCCAAAAAAGTGAAGGGTAGTCAAAGCATATTTTGTAGAGCATTAGAGCTGTATAAGAAGTGAAATCTAATCATTCAAGAAGTCAAGAAATCTCCTAATATATACGAAGTATTTTGGATCGGATTAATACCTTTTTCCTACTGAAATCTGAGCACTGTATCTTAGAATGGCACGGCCTTACTGACCTAAATACAAACATCATTTTATTTTCTGCCCATAGTTTCATTGAGTTTGAGCTAATATTTTGCTGTTGCGAAATTTTCTTGCCTTGGATATTTTAAATTTTGGCATTCAGGATGAATGGAACACTAAAGTGCTCCTTTTCTGTGTTATCTGTGAAACAGGAAAGTGGCTCTAATCAAATCAAACAAAGACACGAGATATGAACTCAATTCAATTGTCACTCATGATGGAGAAAAATTTCCATGCTTAGCTTTACCTGACTTGTCATCATTCAAACAGAAATTTGGCTCAATTGCTTATGATGAGGTTAGAATAATCTTTTTTGTGCATTTGGGTTTATCACCGGGAAATCGCAACATAAAAGATTAGTTTCTCTGCAAAAAATTTGACTTTTCATTTACATGCTCACTGTAAAGTAGCTGGTGATTTAGTGGGTTTGTAAATTTGTGCAGCATATTTTTTTTCTGCACATGCTAACCCATTTTTGCATATGATTTAATTTCCATGTTGACAACTCCTAATGAGTGTATCTGCAGCTAGATGTGATCGGTATTGATGAAGCACAATTTTTCGAGGATCTATACGACTTCTGCCAGAGAGCTGCCGACCATGATGGCAAGACCATTATAGTTGCCGGGCTAGATGGTGACTACTTGAGGTACTAATCTAATCATTTTCTCTTCAATCCTATAGGCTATAGCATCTGGATACTAGTGTATAACTTAGGAGTGACTGAGGTTTTTCTTGATCCATTGCTCTACAGTCTACTACACCCAGTTGCCTGTTCGATGTCATGTGCCCCTAATTTAATATGCTATACAAGTATCAAGGCATATGCTATGGAAATAAATCTTATTTTGTCTAAATCTTAAGGAAAGAATAAAATTTTACTGCTTGATCTACTTTCTCTATCTGGAAATAAATCTTAGTGTGCCCGAGAAAGCTGTCATTCCCTATGATTTAGATTTGAAAATTTTACGTGGAAACTTGCAGCTAATGTCAGTTCTGTTGCAGGAGGAGCTTTGGTTCTGTGCTCAGTATAATACCACTGGCAGACTCAGTGACAAAGCTCACTGCTAGATGTGAGTTGTGTGGCAAACCTGCCTCTTTCACGTTGAGGAAAACTGATGAAAAACAGACTGAGCTGATTGGTGGAGCTGAAGTCTACATGCCTGTGTGCAGGCAGCACTTTGTTAGTGGGCAGGTCGTCATTGAAGCTGCAAGATCGTTCCTGCAACAAAAGGTTCAGTGTGGATAGCGAGGTTGTTAGGATTAGGATTTTAATTTATTTTTTCTAATTTTATGTTTATTTACTATGGAGGGGTTAATTGTAAGGACCATATCTTAAAATTAGATCGAGGTATGCAAAATTCTAACCCTTACCATGGTTTTGTGAAAAATGCTAGAGCTTCAAAGTTGCTTTTAAATCTGATTTGATATCAAGAGGATTTTAGTTGTACATTTAAGTAAATGTTCACAAAGTAGCGAATATCTTGTATTATTACTTGTAAGAATTGCACCAAGGGTTAATCTTGTTCTTCTTATAGTTTCTTGTTGAGTGATCTTTAACTACTACTGATAATCTATATTTCCTGTCTAATTCAGTAATAACTTTCTTGTCACATTACTTGTAGTTGAGCATAATTGCTCTTAAAGATGTAATATGACTTTAATACACAGTTACATTCATATGGCATACAATTAGTGGTTGAGAAGGAAATGCCCCATAAAAAAATCATAAATAAAGCATTGACCATACCTCTCTAATAAATGATGTATCCCAAAGATTACGTATATATCAACCAGCTTAAGCTTTGTTCTTTTCGGATCATATATTGTTGCACGTAAATTATTTTTGTTTTAAAAAGTTTTTTCGATTGAGCTTTAACATTTTTATTATTTTTTTTAATTTTTAATACTAAAACTTAATTTTGTTTAATCAAACTTATTTATAAGTTGAGAAGAGTAATGCTTTTATTGGTTAAAGTTTTAACATTGTACCATAAACTTGAATCAAATCTATGCCTAAAATTGAATTCCGTTTATATCCCTGAAAGGAACACAAAAGTTATGAATTTTTATTTTATCATCATTGTAACCTAACTTATGTCACTGACTCACTGTGATAGTGCAAGGATTTAGAGAACCTATAGGAACAATTAGTCAATTACTGTATCAATACAAGTACATCATATCATGCTGATGCAATGATGTCATATCATATCATATCATATATCACTATTAAATAAAGCCGGTCTCGCAACCAGGCCATGAGACAGCGACACTTGGCATTCCAATTTTTCGCCAAGTGTCGAGCCACGTAGGCGACAAATAGGTATTATTGTGACACATATGATGCTAAGTAAGCGAAGTTTGGATATATTTTTAAGGATAAAAATGTTGAATAGAGTTTTATTATCGATATACTTTTATCAACCCTCTGGGCATCGCCTGAACACAAAACTAGACGATAGAATTAGTAAAAGACTTGATTTGGGTGATTTTGTAGTTTTGTACACACCATTATATGCAACATCCTATACCTTCCCGATTGTTGTTTGTGGATGCTTTGGGTGAATGTCATTGAGATCCTTAAAAACAATACCAACTAACATAAAATTAATTTTGCAGGTTGATTTATTTAGTAGATCAATAACTGGAATTATTAAATATGTAACAAATCTTTCTTATTTTGATCCGGCCAAATTCATATATATTAAAATTGAAATAATCTATCTTTATTTTTTCTGATAAAATTAGCTTTTAGTTATTGTTGCTTTTAAATATCAAGTTTTGAAACTAACTTGAAATTTTTTCTAAGAAAGAAATATTTAATTATAATATTTAATTTAGTAAAAACAATAATAGATAATCAACGAAAATAAGTTTTAACCAGTAAAAATACTTTTGGTTTGGTAAAAATACTTTCAGTTTAGTAAAAATAATTTAAATTCAATAAAAATAATTTCAAGTCAATAATAACATAGATATCTATTTACAAACAAAATTACAAAAAGTACGCTATTCTATAAATAAGCGATAGGATATTATATATCTAAATATCCTGCATTATCAAAAGGGTAAAGCTAAACTTTTAGCCAGGCCGCAAGACAACGACACTTGGCGTTTCAACTTTTCGCAAAGTGTCACGCCACGTAGACAACAATAGATTATTAGTATGACACGTAGGATAAAAATGTTGGATAGATTTAGATAGATTTTGTAAGATAAAAAAGTTAGGTTAGAGTTTTATATTCAATAAAATTTGGATAGGTTTTTTGGATAAAATTATAGGTTTAGAGTTTTATTTTCAATAAAATACCAATATTTTATACCTTTCAATAATTATAACTTCCAATAAATCTATTTTTAGCCCATAAGTTTCTTAAATTATGACATAAGTGAGTAATAAAAAAATTTCCTTAAAACAAAATAACAAATAAAAATTAAAAAATTGGTGGAATTAGCCCATAAGTTTAGTCATAAAGGTTTATTTTACTATACTCTGTACAATTAGTAGTTGAAGTACGTACGATAAGGATTATAGCTTGCAAATTTGCAATATATTTTTAGATACTATTATGCAACATTGGGTTAGATTTTTTTTTTTTTAAGGACATTGGATCAGATTAATCAAGCAAAATTAATTTAAGAGAGAATTTTTGTATCATTTTCTCATATACAGTGTATATTTCTATTATATATATTGCGTGCTCTTACAAAAATCAATGGTATCCTTCGTTAAAATATCCGTCCTAAATCAAAAAGGATATCCATCTCTTACATAACAATGTTCGTATCAATGATATGTTTTAAAATTTGGCATATAGATAAAAAAAAATATTTTAAAATTCAATAAATAAACTGGGTATCGCCACCAAAATTAAAATTCCAAATAGGCAATCATCTTTCAAAAAAAAATCCTAAAAGTCTAGGAGCCGAAAATTTACTTTCGAACTAAGGGTTTTGAATAAGTCTAGGAGTTCAATTTTTTATTTTTTTTTATTTTTATTTTTATTTTTTTTAAGACGGGAGTTCAAATTGTTAAATGTCAATGAAACCATAAAATTAAATTACTCATTTAATTATGAACATTCAAAGAAACAAATATTTCAAACGTGGAGAGATGTAGACATTAGTGATGATGCCTTTGAGAATAAAATTATTACTTTATATTATTTTATAATTACATAAAGATATATGTTGTGGAGGGAATCCGGGGCATCGCCCAGGGTACGTACTAGTCACTAATAAATAAAGCCGATTTCGCAACCAGGCTATGAGACATCGACACTTGACATTTCAATTTTTCGCCAAGTGTCGCGCCACGTAAGAAATAAATAGGGATTATTGTGACCCATATGATGCTAAGTAAGCAATTTTTGGATAGATTTTTTAAGATAAAATTGTTGCACAGAGTTTTATTATCGATTTCATATATACAAAATTAATCATAACTTTTAATAAATATTCTATAACTCAATTCTATTTCCATCATCAAATTCATTTTAGAAAGTTCTTTAAAATAAGATCCATTTATAATATATTGAATCACAAACTTTTATACGTAGCTGGTCAAACCGTGTCACCAACTATTACAAGATCAGAGTTTCGTTAGTGCTATAGGGGTTACTTGCACTACTAGAAAACAACTTCTGTCAAAAATTGGTCTTCCGACGGAATTCCGACGGAATATTCTTTCGCAAAACCCTTCGTAGGAAATTTGACCTTTTCCGACGGGATTTCCGTCGGAAGACCAATTTCCGGCACCGGAAATTCCGTCGAAAACTGCTTTAAAAAAAAAAAACGCCGGAAATTTGACCTTTTCCGACGGGATTTCCGTCGGAAGAGGAATTCCGGCACCGGAAATTCCGTCGAAAACTGCTTTAAAAAAAAAAAACGCCTCCTACCACCCCTACCACCAGCTTAATTAGAACCCATCCACCAGACCCACCTAACCTGAACCCACCACCTTAACCCACCCAGAAACCACCCGAAACCACCCAAATTTTGAACAAACGGCCACCCAGACCCACGCCACCAAACCCACGAAACCACCAAAACCCTAACTAACCCTAACCCACGCCACCAAACCCAACAGACCACCCAGAAACCCGAAACCACCCAGATCTAGAACAAACGGCCACCCACAACCACCACCCAGACCCACGCCACCAAACCCAGGCCTGAAACCACGAAACCACCCAAAAAATCACAAATCGCCACCCACCACCAGCCCACACATCACACACGCACACACAACTCCTCAAAACCCAAATTTTTTAAAAAAAACAAAGAAAAAAAACTCAGAAAAGCGAAAAATTAAAACATAAAACATACCTTGAATTGAAACGGGCTTCGAATTTCACCACGAAAACGGTTTAACAAGGCCTAATTCGGCCATGAAAATTCTAAATCTAGGCTTTTAATGGTCGAATTTGGCCTAAAAAACCTTCAAAATAATCAAAACAAAACTCATGGTGCAGGTGGTGTTAATTGCGCATCGGTGGTGGTGATGTTGGTTACGCAGCGGCAGTGTTGGTGTGAGAAGGAGAAGGAGAACTGATAAGGAGAAGAGAAATGAAGGAAGGAGAAGGAGAAGAGAGAGAAAGAGAGGGCGGAGGAGAGAGGAGAACTAAGAAGGAGAAGAGAAATGGAGGAAGCGGAAGGAGAAGAAAGAGAAAGAGAAGGCGGAGGAGAGAGAAGGAGCGAGGAGAGAAAAGGGGGAAGAGAAGAGAAAAGAAGAGCGCCGAAAGAGGAGAGAGAAATGATCAGAGAACAAATGAAGGGGGAAGGTCGTTTTTTTCCTTATATATAATTAAATTCTGACAGAATATTCCGTCAGAAATTTTCGACGGATTTTAATTTTGACGGAAAATTAAATTTCCGACGGAATATTCCGTCGGAAATCCCATATATTCCGACGGATTTTTACTCTGTCGGAAATTTCCAACGAATTTTAACAATCCGTCGAAAATCTGTGGGAAATTTCCGACGAAAAAATAATCTGTCAGAATTTCTGATTTTTCCGACGGAAATACGTGTCCGTCGGAAATCGGCCTAATTCTAGTAGTGTTGGTAAGTATTATAGTGGTTACTCAATCAGTGTTATAGATAGGGGTTACTTAGTCAATGTTAGAGGTTACTCAGTTAGTATTACAGGGGTTACTCGATCAGTTTTATAAAGGTTACTTTGTCCGACTAGATGGTGTGGTTAGCCGCATACAAAATGCATTGTTATTTAATTTATTTTTAAAAAATATTAGAGAATCAATAAAATAAGTTTTAATCAGTAAAAATAATTTTAGTTTGGTAAAATTATTTCAGTTCAGTGAAAATAATTTAAGTTCAATAAAAATAATTTCAAGTCAATAATAACATAAATATCTATTTACAAACAAAACTATACAAAGTATACTCCATATAATATCTTATGTCTAAATATCCTACATTATCAAAACGAATTATTTGAACGTAATTAACATTCAAGTAAAAATGCTATCTTAAAATATTATCAACCATCTGGACATTGCCCGAACACAAAACTAGTATTTAATAAAGCATAATGTTTTGACGTGTGAACTTTGGCAATAAAATTTCCTAATTTGTTTATACTCATTATTCAAATTACTAACCTCAACGATATATTTAATTGAGCATAATATTTTGACTTGTGAAATTTGTCAATAAAATTTCCTAATTTGTTTATTTACTCATTACTAGAATTACTAACCTTTACATAATTACATGCATATTGTGATTAGTCGAGTATTGCCCAAAGCGTGAATTGGGTGGAACACTAAAAAAAATTAAAAAAATATTCTTATATTCTTCACTACTCGTACTTTCAAAAAATAAAAATAAAAAAATTATTCTTGTATTCAAAATGAGAAATTCCAAGTTTCTCAACGTGAGAAACAAATTATGTTTCTCAAATGGCAAAAACGTAAATAAAACACTTTTTTTTTATTGTTAATTGGCAAAACCGCTACTTGCCCATAAACCGCTACTTAAGGGTTCGTTTGGCATCGCTGTGGTTTTTTTGGTTTTTTGTTTTTAAAATCATATGACATATATCATATAATGAATAAAAAATTAGTCAAACTTATTAAAATTATGATAATTTCGAAAACTGACAACAAAAAGGTGGAAACACCTTTTTATTGTTTCTTGTTTTTGGTTTTTTGTTTTCAAAAATTGAAAACTGAAAACAAAAAACGATGTCAAACAAGCCCTAAAATAGCGGTTTTACATGTAATTTTACAAATTTAACCTTGTTTCTCATGTTCAGTAAAATAGTAAATGGGACGGCCTCATTCAAAAAATACTCATTACTCGTACTTTTTTCTTTCAAAAATTTCAGGCCAAGTTACCAAGAAAAGGATATTAATGTCAAACCGGTGTCGTTTAACTTGTTTAGGAGCGTATTTTCAATTGCGCTGTATCCTTCACTCCCATTCCCATGCTCTCTCTTCTCCCTTTGCTGCCTGGCGCTCAAACCGCCATATTTATTTCTTCAATTTATCTGCAAGGTACACTATTTTTTCTCTCCTAACTCCTTTCATTTTTCTTCCAATTATCTGGGAGATTTTTAGTTGTTATGTTAAGAAGACCAAAGATTAGAGCTTATGTGACCCAAAAGCTCCAATCTTTGTCTAAAAGTCCCAGTTTTTCATTTTGTTCATCTGGATCTCATTCAAATTCTTCTTCTTTTGATAATGATGATAATAATATTAGTTGTAATAAGTTAATTGTTAAGAACTTTAATCAAAATGGTTATTTTAATTCTGAGACTACTGATTGGGAGAAATTGCTTAAACCCTATGACATTGAAGATCTTCAGAAATCACTCAATTTTCTTACACCCATTAGACTGTGTAAATTGATTGAGCTTCCTATTGATGTGCCCACTTCGATCGAGCTCTTCGAATGGGCCGGTACCCAGAAAGGGTATTCTCATTCATTTGATGTGTATTATGCTTTGATTAGTAAACTTGGTGCTGTTTCCGAGTTTAAGGAGATAGATAGGTTATTGTTGCAAATGAAAGATGAGGGGATTGTTTTTAGAGAGTCCCTTTTTATGTTGATTATGAGGTGTTATGGAAAGGCTGGATTGCCTGGACAAGCCACTAGGTTGTTGTTGGATATGAGGAATGATTATGGCTTCGAGCCGACCTTTAAGTCTTATAATGTTGTCTTGGAAATTTTGGTTGCTGGGAATTGTCATGAGGTTGCTCCCAATGTGTTTTATGATATGTTGAATAGGGGTCTTTCCCCAACTGCGTTTACCTTTGGTGTCGTGATGAAAGCTTTTTGTAAGGCTAATAAGGTGGACACTGCATGGTCGCTTCTTAGGGACGTGACCAAGTATGGGTGTGTCCCCAATTCAGTCATCTATCAGACACTTATTCATGCTTTGTCTAAGGTTAATCGCGTAAATGATGCATTGACCCTTTTGGAAGAGATGATATTGATGGGATGTATCCCTGACGTTGAAACATTTAATGATGTCATTCATGGTCTTTGTAAGGTTAGTCGTATTCATGAGGCAGCTAAGTTGGTTGATCGGATGCTTGCTCGAGCTTTCACCCCAAATGCAGTGACCTATGGGTTTTTGATGAATGGGCTGTGTAGAGCTGGACAAGTCAGTGAAGCAAGGGCTCTCTTGGGTAAAGTTCCTGAGCCTAATATCGTGCTGTTTAATACCTTGATAAACGGGTATGTAATTATTGGAAAGCTTGATGAAGCCAAAGCTATTGTCCAAGAGAACATGGTGGGTTCTAGATGTGCACCAGATGTATACACATATAACATACTTATCCGAGGCTTTTGCAAAGAGGGTTTTCTAGGGTCAGCTTCTGAACTTGTGGAAGAGATGGAACGTAAAGGATATAAGCTAAATGTCACTACGTACACTACATTAATTGACGGTTTCTGTAAGAAAGGTAAACTCAAGGAAGCTAGTTTAGTCCGGGATCAGATGTCTGCCAAGGGGCTCAGCCTGAATACTGCAGGGTACAATAGCTTTATAAGTGCCTACTGCAGAGAGGAGAACGTCCACGAGGCTTTCAGAATATATGCCGAAATGTCAGTAAATGGATGTAAACCTGACATATACACATTTAATTCATTAATTTATGGGCTATGCAAGGTTAATGAAATGGAAGAGGCTTTGAAGTTATACCAAGATATGTTACTGGAAGGAGTGATTGCCAACTCCATTACTTTCAATACATTAATCCATGCTTATTTGAGAAAAGGATCTACAGAAAACGCACTTAAGCTTGTACATGATATGTTATTTAGAGGGTTGCCTCTTGACGTAGTCACTTACAATGGCTTAATAAAGGCACTGTGTCAGGGTGGGGCTGTGGAAAAAGCTTTAGAGTTATTTGAGGAAATGATTCGAAAAGGAATTAAGCTTAGCATTATTACATGTAATATACTAATCAATGGCCTTTGCCGGACAGGAAAGGTACAAAATGCACTGGACTTTTTAAGAGAGGTGATTTATAGAGGCTTGACACCAGATATAGTAACTTATAATAGCCTGATAAATGGTTTGTGTAGAACAGAACGCATCCAAGAGGCTGTTATCCTCTTTGAGCGGTTACAAGCTGAAGGAATTGCCCCTGATCCTATCACTTACAACACTTTGATTAACTGGCATTGTAAACTTGGCATGTCAAATGATGCCTTGATGCTTCTATATAGAGGCCTGGAAAATGGTTTTGTCCCCAATTCTACCACATGGTATATATTATTAAAAAATTTCGCTTGCATGGAATGGAGGGATGTGATTCTGGCTGTCTCTTGATCTAGGCTACAAGGAAGCTTCATGTCTGTGCAAGTTTCTCCCAAATGCTTGAGGATATTGCAAGGGAGCTATGACTTTTGTTCTTTTAAGTGGCCGGGATCCTTGTTTGATAATTTATCACCTTTCCTCTGATCAATAGGGAAGAAGCAGCAATAGAACAAAATGTACAAAAGGCATTTGAAACATGTTTTAATATTTTGGCAGTGTAGATTCGATGTTTAATTTCTTACGGTGGTAATGCTGGTGCAATGTGCCCCTGGTCCACAAAGTTGCATTTGGACCATGATAGAGAGGCTACTATGAAATTGCTGCTGATTATTTCTGTGGGATTCCTATTGTCAATTGAGTTTTACATCTGAATTCAACTCATGTGGTCACGTGCATGGATTTGTGAAAGGACAAAAATTGAACAAGTTGTATCAAATGTGGAAGCTGATCTTATGAGGTTTTCGACTGTATGTCTTGTTATCAATATCTAAGTCTTCAATATTATTATTATTATTATTATTATTTTTCTCTTTTTTGTTTGCTCTTATGTTTTTGTTAGCATACTTAATGCCCAAAAAGTACCATTGCATGGCAAAGAGAAATAATGTGTTTGTTCCCACTTACCGCATTTTCCTAGTAGCTATAATGATATTCATATTTGCTTTTTTATTTTATTTCCCCAGAGGCGGGGGGGGGGGGGATATGGGACAAAAATAAGTTGTTTTTTGACTGGTTTTATGAGTCTAAGCTTACACCATTGCATTAAATATCATATTTAAATCCCACAGGGTTTAGCTTGTAATTTATGAATTAGTCTTTGACTCTGTCCATTACGATACTACCAATTTCGCACATGTTTCTGTCCAGTCTAGGTTACATAACTGCATGTTGTTAAAATTCACTCATATATTGGAGTGGGCTGGGGTTGGAAGAGTGTAACTGGTGAGAAAGTATGTCACCATGCTATAGTTAAGCCAATAAATTAGAAACTCTGTTGGACTTGTGCAGAGTCTGGGATGGTGAAATTAGGTTCTTTGTCCAAGTTGAATGCTCCAATTCAAAGTACAATGTGAAATAGATTAATTCTTGTACAAAAATTACTACATTGGGTACATGTAATGTATTTTGCACTTTCAAAGTGGTCTGATATCGAGATCTGGCCCAGTCAGTAACATATGTAAGTTCTGCCTTAAAACGACTAAGTCAATCTAGGAGTTTGCTGAATGTCTAAATTTAGCCCAACTGAACTATTTTATTCTCCCCTGTTTATCTGTTGGCGTAACTTAGAACCTACCTTGCCGGAACATGGTGAAGGCTTGGTAAATTGTTGAAAAAATGCCACTTAGCAGACTAAATGGCAATGATAATGTTGTGATGGGAGTAGGTTTGAAGCATGGTCGTGGCTTCTATAGTTCTATGTGTGTGAATTTTCTATCCTTTCTTTCTTTCAGAACTGAGCTCGACTTGGCTGTTTTCCTTTTCTCACTAGACACTTTTTTGTGAAAATATAATTTTTAAGTGAAACTCTAAAATAGAGGACTGAGTATACTAAATTGAATAGTGGAAAAAAACTTCTTAGGCAAATCAAATATGACATTGCAAGAATTCAAAGAGAACTATATATTACAGCATCTGCTGTGAAGAAGTTTCTTCCTTACTTTTTCCTATGTTTATTTTCCCTTTTTTTTTTGTTTCATTTTTGATGTTTTCTGACGCCTAAGAAAAAGTTTCAAGCTACTGTTTTTTTTTGCTTTGTTATAAATTATACTTTCTCAAGTCAAAAACTCAAATATGATTGCAGCAGAATTACAGCTTTAAAATTTGTGAATGACGAGATTCTCTTAGGTCATATCCTAGTCAGGTTGAATTTTATGATAAAGAAGCTTTGCAAGATTTGCCTAGTCATTATTGCACTGTTATTTGTTGACATTAGTTTCTGCTGCTTGTTTCAGGGAGACAAGGAAGGAAAGCCACTAAAACCTCCATACATTAGAGAAGGTTTGGTTCTTGATGTCATCAAACTATCAAAGAGTTATTTCATGAAGAAGTTTGTTTCTATGAAAGTCAGTTAAAAATAAAATGTAAGTCACTGGAATTTATTCTAGCTACATGTTTGAAAACGACGAATGGAAAATAGTGGGCACGCTGAAACTTTCTCAAATTGGAGTTTATGTTTCCGCCACCTAGGGCCCTGGTTTTAATCTAGGTTGCATTTATTTTTGGTGCAAATCTAGGTTGCATTTATGACACAAGCTCACACTACCTCAATCTCAAATTAGTCATATGTTCATAAATTTTGTGTTCTTTTTTACCTTAGTGTTGTTTGTCTGACCTGTGCGAAATGGACAAAAATGCAGGTCATTGGGGGGGAAAATGATCAGTACACTTATGAACAGGCACTCAACAAACTAATCCATTGTTGTGAAGTGTCTCTGACTCTCTGTGCTTATTGTGAGTAGTATTAAATTAACCAAGATTTATGTATGCTTGGTATCTAGGATTTGTTGTCAGTTTTAAAGCTTTCTCCCTTGTGGAGCTGACTTCATGGCTTTTAGAGAAGGGTTCGACCGTTCAAGACTATCAGAGAAAATGGGGATGCTGCTTCCTTGAAGATAAATCTGGGTGTGAAACTGTGAATGTTACTGGGCCTGGGGGTTCGTTTTCCTGCATACCAGAAGAGAAGCAAAAACTTTGGGGTATCTGCTTAAGGTTTAATGCAAGAGTTTATGAAGCTGGAACCGGAAATTGCTGTAATAAATTGATTTTGCGGTAAAAATTAGACATTTTGACCAGCTTGCTGAGACTAATATGTTTAACAGGTACGCCTATTGAATATATTCATGTTTGGTTTGCAGGTTAATTGTCTTGTGCTATTTGATTGTTATTCGCAAATGCAAAGAAGATGATGATCAAAGAGGATTGAATAAACGAATTTGCGACTTATGTCACCCATAAAGCATAAAAGGCTCTTTCCAGCAGTGAAATATGCAACAACTGAAGTAAAACCTATTTCTGAAATGATCAAGGAGTTGAGTTTTTCAGACAACAAAGGCTATACCTTTCTCATGTATTCTTTTGCGTAATGTATACTTCAAACACTTTACTCCAGCATTTTATTAATGTTTACAGTTATAATTACAGTTGGCAATAATTTTACTTTCGATTTTCATATGGCCAAAATATGCAAGATCTCTTGAGTGGTAGTGAACTTGCAGAAATTTTGGTTGTTGAATTATGGTTGCTTGTTATTGATGACAATATAAGAAAAAGAATTTACTTCAATTGTGAGTTGTCTTGTCTATCTCAAAAAGTGCTTAATGGTGAAAGGTGGGCTTTCCTTTTCTTCTTCCATTTCGTTTGTGTATTGGGTGGGTGATAACTCATGCAGTTTATTGAAATTCTCTCACAAGTAAATAATCTTTTCTTCTTCGTAGTATAATCTCTAAATATGCACGAAATTTGCATAAATCATGTGCATATGAGAAAACGCTTGTTAAGAATAACTTACGTGTGAGATTTTCTATGTGGATGAAGAAGAGGAGGATGATTAACATTTGTTTTGTGGGGATACTCTTATTGCCAATTATTTCGACTTTGATTGAAGGTTGAAAAAAAGAAAAAAAAAAAAAAGATTTGCACATAATAAGGAGTTTTTTTTTTTTTTTTTTTTATATATATTTTTAGGGCAAGTAGAGAGGGCTATTATTATTATAATGATATAGAGAAATTACAATGATGGGAAGAATAATCTAATCTAATCTAATATATATAAATAAAGTAGGCATTTTTCAAGAGCATTTGGCGCGCCACATAAGCAAAGGTATATTTTCGACCAATTAAAAATTAGATTTTTATTTTATTTTGGAATTAAAAAATTCGTTTGTCACCTAAACAAAAGTGACGAATGAGATTTAAGAATTTTGCCACGTAAATAAAAACAATGAATATTGATTTATTAGGATTTAATTTATTTAAAAAACTAAAAATTATCTTTTAAAATAATCATCTTTAGATATAGGATTTATATACCTATTATTATAAGATAAATTTTGATAGTGTTTATGATAAGAATAAAAATTATTCCTTAATTATAATTAAATTAAAATTTGTGATATTTACCATTATAAATTGACGCATCATATGACACCAACAAAATTTCGTATCAATACAAAACCAAACCAAGCAAATTATGTGTCATTAATTTTGTGATAGTTTTATTATGTCATCAATGGTTGGGTAATTCTTAGCCTAATTTTTAAAACCCATGTTTAAATGTATATTTGTGATTATTGCTTAAATTGTGTTTATTTGGGATACTTAATGATTATATGTTTATGTTTTGTTACTGAATTTTGTTTTTACATGCAGATCTAATTTAATAAGAGAATTATATTCGAGCAAAAATCTTTGGAATATCAAAGTACGAGTTTCTCGCCTGATGATCCTATTGGATGAGGAGGTATTATATCTTTATAAATCGTTTACATTAATAAAACTTTTAATGAACCTTTTAGTTTTTATCAATTAATTTTATGATTAAATAATTTTTTTGTGATTTAGGTAGCTTAATTAAGTCATAGAATTACGTTCATGCCTCAATTAAAATCAACTTTGTTCTACAATTTTGTTCAAAATTGATTGAAGGAAAAGTTTACTCCATTAGATACTTTCAGTCGTTACAAATAAGAAGCAATATCGCACGCATTGTCAGCGACAACAAAATAATGATTCAATTTTCCAAAATACTATTGTTTGGGCGATTGGGGACGATGAAAAAATTCCAATACATAGATTTAATTTTGTATAATTACAATTTTTAGATTAATTTCACAACAATTATTCACTTTCTGGTAAATATTTTAATTTATTTTATAAGACTACAAAGATTAATTTTATATAAATTTTATTTTTGCTAACATGTTCAATTTATCCACTTTTATTAGATGGAAGAGATATGGGTGTGAACAAAATTGGCGATCCTATCGAAATTTTTTTTAATACAATTTTTTTTACATCGAATTATTACATCTAATAACTATTATTTTTAATGTTCTTATTAAAATATTTATTAGGGGAATAAATTACATAAATTAATAAAAAATTATCCTTAAAAACAATAGCAAAGTAATCAAAAATATTATGAGTATGATCTAATTACAAAAATTATTTTTATGAGGTTTTACGTATAAAAAACCGTGGGATATTAGGATTTAAATTATTAAAAAAAATAAAATTATCTTATGAAATTAATGGTTTTATCTAAATACCCGATTAATAAGATGTTTTTTTCATAAAAAAAATTTAAAACTTATAACGCAATAAAAAAACTTTACCTTCTTTAAACATTTTATGTCTAAAAAATTGGAAAGACAGATAATTTGTTAGAGATCAAGAGATCACAAGAAGTATACAAAATGATATATAGATTTGAGAGTTTAATTTCAAGCGTAAAAGGAAACGAATAATGATTTAGGATTTTAAATTATTTTAAAAATAAAAAATTACTATATTTTCATATTAAAGATCTTATCCTAATATGTAATCAATGAAATATCATGTTTACAATTTTTTTTTTTTTGGAAAGATATCATATTATTGTCATATAACTAACAACAACGAATAAAATACAAAACAACAATAACTTAAGTCGCATTATAAATTACATTAAAAAAATTATATTTTTGTAATTGGCAATATCATTTAAATTAAATTATTATTTGTTTTTTGTTTTTTTTTGTCTGAAATTATTAAATTGTAAAATAAATCAAATAATTATAAAAAAATAAAAAAAAATAAAAAAAAAACTTCGAGTATATAGGAAAATATCTTTTCTTGAGATATATGTATAAGAAATCGTGCATCGCACGGGCTTTCATTTAGTTTCAATTACTTTAGGCTTAGAAAAGTGATTCTTATTAAAGTTGTGGTTGATAAAATCTTAACCTATTTATAAGGTGGATGAACTTATTGATGAAATTCACTCATTAAGAACAAGGCTTTGGTGGGGAATTTTGGACCAAGAAAGGAAGGTTTGTGGAAAAGTGAGATGATCATCAAGAATCAAGATATATAATGAATTTATCAAACCCTTTAGGCAAAGGAAGTATAGTTATGTTTAAGAGTAGTCTCTTCTTGAGAAAATTACAGTCAATTTTTACAAAAATATATGGTTTATGATGACTCTTAATATTATTGTACGGAATAGTATTTACACCACCAAAGCTCTTCTTTTAGATGGTTTGAAGTGGATAGTGGGACTTAATAATTGGGTAAACAATATAATTTTGAATGGTGCTCGGATGTTATGTGTATATTACGTATTTGAATATTGTAAATTAGTATTTCCTTCAAAACTATACTAATATTTTAAAGTGTATTTCTCTCACGATAACCTATATACAACTCCTTCCATCAATCAATGGTGAATTAATGTGGAAAAAATGTATTTCTTTAGAGTTTTTACAAGTTTAGTTGAATCAACATCCCATAATAAGCTTAACCAAGATGAGCAAGTTCATCCGCTTCTCTTTTGTGACTAGCTAAGTATGTAATTAAATGTTCATGTCTTCCAAACTCCCTCTCATCAATAATTTCCAAACTCAATTTGATGGATCAACCACTTCTTCCTCTATTGCAACAAGAGTAGTAATTCATAATGCCTTTAAGAAGTCATCATGGCTAAAGGCCTAAAGCCTTCTAAATGGATCATACTTCCCTTCTTATTACCAAAGCATGAGCTCAAGAAGAGATCATGTTTTTATAACAAAAGTTACAACTAACTCATACTTCAAATCTTACTAAATTTTTAGTAAAAATTTACAAATTTCTCATAATTATTAACCTCGATCCACAGTTATCTATTAAATTAAGTTATTTCATGGGACAATTGTACAAAGTAAAAACATAAATTGACATAAATCACACTGTCAGAATTGACCTTTAACTTTCTTTATCTTATTACTCGTATTTTTTAGGAGTATACCCTCCAAATGTAGGTATTGTATTCAAAATACAACTTTCCAAAAATTATTTTTTTTTAAAACAAAAAAAAAAAAAAAAAAAAAAAAAACAGCAGAAGCTTAAAAATTCACTTTAGTATATGAGAGAAAACTAACAAGCAGTCTCTCCGCAAACACCCAACAAATTTTTTCTCCTCTCTCGTCTCAGGTATACTTCCATCTTCTTCTTCTCCTTTTTTATCGCTGTATTTTCATGGTTTTTTTCGCCAATTTCCTTTTCATAAACCCTAATTACCTTTCCCCTTTTTCTCTCTCCTCGCCTTTTTCACTCTCTTGTATTTTTCACTTTTAAACTGCATTGCATTTTTGTTTTACTAACCCTAATTTCACTTACTTTTTTTGTATCTTGATTTTTAATTGATTGTTCTTCCTCTTCGTGTTTATATTAATCGGAATATTGTTGGGTTTGATGATTTCTTGTTATAGAGCTTTATTTGATGAATTTTTTGATTTTTTTTGTTTCTTGGTAAATTTAATTCTTTGATTTTTTGTATTCTGTGTGTTAATTGAATTGGGTTTGATTTGATGATCTACATGAAGAAAGAAGCAAAAAGAAGTAAACTTTAAATTATTCTGGTGAAGGTTTGAGGGTCTATATGTCCCTCAATCAATCAAGGTTTGATAAGAACGAGTCACAGTTTAGAAAACCAGGCGGTGGACGATCTGGTAGAGGCTCTGGTGGTCAGCAAAGGAATTTTCCTGGCGGTCGTGGAAGAGGTGGCGGAAGCGGCCCCACTACCACCACCGCCCCTCCGGTTTCGAACACTCAGAGGTATAATATTGCTGTTTTGAATTAGGGTTTGTTTAGAGTGTTGGGTTTTTTTTGTTAGGTCATGTTATTACTTTTGGTTACACTTGTGAGGAGCTGAAGAATTGATTAGGATTTGCCGATTTGGTGATTGTCGTAGCATATTAATGAAGACAACATACATGAGAGTGTGAGGTTAAAACAAAAAAGAGAGTGATTTTGGAAAGAGGTTGGAGAATAATTGATGATTGGATTTTTACTTAATTTGTGAGAATTGATTGATTGGAAACCTTCTTGAAGGGTGTTTTTATCATTTTTGTTATTATTTTTTGTGACACTTGTGAAAAACCGATGTATCGATTAGGATTTGGGTTGGTCATCGCATAGTTAGACTTGCGTGAGAGAATATCAAGGTAAAAGAATTAAAAAAAAAAGAGAGAGAAATAGAGATATTCAGAGGGAATGGAGATATATTGATGATTGGATTTTCTTTTGTTTTTGGGAATAAATGAATTGATAGCCACGTTAAATGGGTTTTGTTATTCATCGGAAATGCCACTGATTTTAGCTTTTGATTTTGTCTTGTGAGAAACTGATGGGTTGATTAGAATTTTTTTATTTTAACAGCACAATAAATGAATGTATACGAGAATATTCAAAGAATAAGGAGAATGGTTGTGTTGAGGGAATGGGATGATATGCTAATTTGTTTCTCTCTAATTTGTGAGAACTGATTCATTGAAGGGGTATTATGTTACTGAATTTTCTTTTTTCCTTCAATTATGATCAGTTACAAGAAGGTTAACCATGCTCAAGGCGGACAATCTAGAGGAAATTCTGGACCTGTGACCCCTGATTTTAATGCTGTTACCAGTTCACGTTATGCAGAAAATGGTGGCCATGTACAGTCCACATTACAAGGTGGGTTTATTTTCTTTGAGTGGTTGGGGGGGGGGGGAGAGAGGGGGAGGGGTCAATTTCCTTTCAGCAATTTGTTTGGTTTTAATAATTGTTATCCAATTCTGGGTAATATGGCTGTTTGTAAGATTAGTCCCTTGCTGTTTTCCTTGCTCGTGATTGTAAGATGTACCCATATTTATCGTTGTCATATAATATTGAACTAGTTATTTGGGAAGCCCTCTGCTTGTTTTCTGATAGTTGATGTAATCATCGAGGTATTTGGTGTTGTGGAATGATCATGTTTCTCTTGGTGCTTCAGCAGTGTCCAACACACCATCTCCAGCTGGAATCCCTAAGCCAAATGATGCATCATCTCATAAGATTAGTCGACCTATTCCAAAGGCTCCATCTTCACAATCATCCTCCATGAGCTCTGAAACTACCTTACCTTCCACACCTTCAAAGGGTATTTTCTTGTTGTTTGCTTCGTGTTTTGACTTTCGCTTTGTTTTTAGCTTTGTTACCTTGTATCTGACCTGATTCTTTGATTTCTGTTCTAAGAAATAATGCTTGACCTTTTTTTTTTTAATTAAAAAAACTTCATTTTTTAGGGGATGGAGCTAAGGGCTTTCCTCTGCAATTTGGATCCATAAGTCCAGGTTTCATGAATGGAATGCAGGTCTGTCAGTTATATTGCCTCAATAGCTGCATCTTTCTTATCATGGTTTGCATGTATTGTAACTTTTTTGGTATGTATACTCACTGCTGTGCCTGATGTTTTCTTTCCAGGTACCAGCTCGAACAAGCTCAGCTCCACCTAATTTGGATGAGCAAAAGCGTGATCAGGTTTGCTGCCTTCTTTTATTCCTCTTGTTCATTTCGAACATTATCATTAAATTAGTTGCTTTACAGCTGTTTATGCTGTTCCATCTTGAAACTCAGAAGATGTCCCCCTTTTTGTCTTGTATGGTTCAGTTAAAAGCTCAGCTAATTAAAAGTATGCTGTGAATCTGATGTCTAAGCTAATTTTAATTGATGGAATAATGTTTTAGTCCAAGATTAATTGTCATGATGATAGGTTAGTTTGAGCCAACAATGTGACAATTGAATCCAAATGGGGATAGTATCATAATCTTTTTGGTTTGATCTGGTTTTTACTTTAAGATCTTATAAGAAAAACTTAGATCGGGTTGGCTTCTACTCTTAATTGACCCTATCATTATTTTGGAAGGAAGCACTTTGGTACATGGAATAGATAGAGAGAGGTATTTTTCTACCCATTTTTGTTAAAGTAGTCTAAAAGTGTACCAATGTACCATGAACCATTCGTTAATACTGTGTTGTAGCTCACTACAAAGACATATTCTTTCAGACATATTCCTCTAAAGTGATTTACAGAGGTTTCATTTTGTTTAAAGGCTTGGTTGTTTTGTACAAATTTCATTTTGCTTACTTTTCCTATTGTGCTGTGCACCTGTATTTATTGATTACTACTTGTGGGCTTTGTTGCAGGCCCGTCGTGAAGCTTCAAAAGCTGTGCCAGCAATTCCATTACCATCTGCTCCTAAACAGGAGTTGCCAAAAAAGAAAGTTTCTACAACTGAGAATCTGATTGCTCAAGAAAGTAAAAGTAAGGTCAAAAGAGATGTCCATGTGGCATCTGCATCTCCACCATCACCGGCACACAAACCTTCTGTTCTTCCTGCAGCAGGTATATCTGTGCCATCACCGTTTCACCAGCAAACCGTTTCCATGCAGTTTGGTGGACCTAATCCACAAATTCAGTCCCAAGGTATGCTTACAAGTTCGCTTCAGTTGCCAATTCAGATGCCGTTACAGATGGGAAATCCCTCCCAAGTTCCTCCGCAAGTCTTTGTGCCTGGTCTCCAACATCCACTTATGCAAACTCAGGGAATCATGCATCATAACCAGAACTTGGGATATAATCCTCAGCTTGCACCGCAGCTTCCTCATCAACTAGGAAATATGGGAATCAATATGTCTGCTCCGTATAATCAACAGCAGGCTGGAAATTTTGGCAATACACGTAAGACAGTGAAGATAACACATCCTGATACACACGAGGAGTTGAGACTTGATAACAGTGGATCAACAGCACCAAGGGTGCATCAAAGTGGGTCTTCGCAGTCCCAACCTGTACCTCCGTATACAGGAGCGCATCCCATGGGCTACTATTCTAGCTCATACACAACAGGCCCCCCTTTTTTCTCAGCTCAAAGTTCACTTCCTTTGACAAGTGCTCAATTAAATGCTAGCTCCCAGGGTCCCAGGTTTAGCTATCCTGTTAGCCAAGCACAGCCAACTATGCCCTTCATGAACCAATCTGCGTCTAATACCTATTCAGTCAGCAGGGCTGGGGCTACCATCCATGGCGCTCCTGATTCTTCCAGTTTGGATCAGGTTCGGGAGGCTCATAATATTGCCCCTTCTGCACAATCAACATCGGTCCATGTGACTGTAAAGGCAGCTGGTGGGTCTGCTAGGGAGAAGGCCATTAACTCCTCTGCTGTTGAAAGACCAGAGCTCTCTAAAGTATTGAATCCCGCTGTGGAGCCTAGTGTTGCTAGGAAGGATTCAGAAATAAATGTGGACAATTCCGCTTTTCAGCCAAACTCTAGTACTGCTCATCCAAAACACTCTGCTACCATGACAGCTTCAGTTGCCACTGAGTCGTCAAGTTTAGTAGAAGTTTCTGCTATTTCTGATACAATTCATAGAGAATCAGCAGCTATAGCTCCTCCTGTGAATGGCGTCAAGAGGGAAACTTCAAGTAAGTCCGTGCCTATCAAGGATATTGAGAAGAATCCAGGCAAGCAAGAGCACCCTGAATCATCACAACAGGTTATACCCTTTTTTTGCATGTTGAGGTATTTTAAGACAATTTCTTTTGGCAGTATGATTAATTTGTCTTTTTTTTTTTGTTTTTTTTTTTTGTTTTTTTTATCTGTAGGTTGATGGAAAGTCTGAATCCAGAGTGAGTCAGGATCTAGTTGATTCTTCTGAGGTTGTGATCTCTGAATCTGCAGAACCTAGATCCACTCAAACTGCATCAGACTCTAAGTTGGCTATATTAGAAGCTGGTCAGTCATCACCAAGTGATGTCCATGGTGATGGTATTGGTACTGAAGCCCCATCTCATTCATCAGAAAGTTATGAAAACCAGGATATTGCTTCTAAAGATCAGGCTACAAATAAAGATGACCTTCCTTCACAAGAAAAAGCTGTGAAAGAATCATCAGATGCCAAAGAAAGAGGAGAAAATGAACTAGACATACTACAGTCAGATAGTTCTTTGAAGGGCTCAGATATTGCCAAAGATATAGATCGAGACGAGCAATTGATGAATGCTGCTGATGTAAAGGGTGTTATGGAAACTTCTCAAAGAGAGGTTGAATCTGCTGAATCTTGTGTTCAAGTCGATAATTTGATGGAAATTCGCTCGTGTAAGAATGATTCATCTATTATTTCTGATGGATGTGGCCTCTCAGAAGCAAACACTTTGTCAGTCTCAACAGATGGTGTCAGTTGCAAAGGCGACGATGTCTCCAAATCTGGTATGTCCGACAATGAGGCAACTTCTGTTTCGGCAGATCTCTTAGACACACATTTAGGGCATGAAGAAATCATGGAGAACTCAAGGCCTAATTCTTCATCAGGTACCACGTCAGGATCAAATAAGGGAAAAAATAAAGGGAAGAAAAAGTGGAAAGAACTGCTTCAGAAAGCAGATGCTCTTGGGACATCTTCTGATTTGTACATGGCCTATAAGGGTCCAGAGGAGAAGAAAGAATCTAGTGTTGCTACAGAACTTGCTGCTGATGATAAGTCGAAGGAGGTATCTGGTGATGTCAGACCAGAAGAGAGTTCTGAGAAGAACAAGGAGGAGCAGATTAAAGCCGAGCTTGATGATTGGGAAGATGCAGCTGAAATTGCTACACCAAAGTTGGAATCCTCAATAAAGGGTGGTCATGGAGGCTCAGTTCATGATGAAGATGGAGTTACAGCTAAAAAGTATTCCAGAGATTTCCTTCTAACATTTTCAGCTCAGTGTACTAACCTCCCAGAACGGTTTGAAATTACTTCTGATTTAGAAGCTTTGATGTCTGAAAATACTAGTGCTTCTCGTAGTGATCGTGAACACCCTAGTGCCGGGAGAACCATAGATAGGCCAGCTGCAGCTGCAGCTGCACGACCTGATCGCCGTGTTAGTGGGACATTGGATGCTGATAGGTGGAATAAACAGCCTGGTCCGTTTCCTTCAGTTCGAGATCCAGGGATGGATCTTGCATATGGAAGCAATATAATGGGATTTCGTGGTGGTCCCGGCCCTAATTATGGTGTGCTCAGGAACCCACGGGCACAAGGACCTGTTCCACATGTTGGTGGGATTTTGTCTGGCCCAATGCATTCTATGGGTTTTCTGGGAATGCAGAGAAATAACTCTGATGCTGACCGTTGGCAACGAGCTACAAACTTCAATAAAGGTCTGATGCCCGCTCCTCAGGGTCCTTCCCAGATTATGCACAAAGCTGAGAGAAAGTATGAGATAGGTAAAATATCTGATGAAGAGGAGGCAAAACAGAGGAAGTTGAAGGGTATTTTGAATAAGCTGACTCCTCAGAACTTTGAGAAATTGTTTGAGCAAGTTAAAGAAGTTAATATTGACAATTCTGTGACTCTGGCTGGAGTAATCTCTCAGATCTTTGACAAGGCTTTGACAGAGCCAACATTTTGTGAAATGTATGCGAACTTCTGCCAGCATCTTGCCTCTGAGCTCCCAGAATTAAGTGTAGACAATCAGAAAATCACCTTCAGGCGTTTGTTGCTGAACAAGTGCCAAGAAGAATTCGAGAGAGGAGAAAGAGAGGAACAAGAAGCTAATAAGGCTGATAATGAGGGTGAGGATGAACCTAAACAATCCGAAGCAGTTAGAGAAGAAATGAGATTGAAAGCACGTAGACGCATGTTGGGGAATATTAGATTGATTGGTGAGTTGTACAAGAAGAGGATGTTAACTGAAAGAATAATGCACGAGTGTATAAAGAAGTTGTTAGGTCAATATCAAAACCCTGATGAAGAAAACATTGAGGCATTGTGCAAGTTGATGAGCACAATTGGGGAGATGATTGATCATCCCAAAGCCAAGGAGCATATGGATGCTTACTTTGACATTATGGGTCAGTTATCCAACAATACGAGGTTATCTTCTAGAGTGAGGTTCATGTTGAGGGATGCTATTGACCTTAGAAAGAACAAATGGCAACAGAGAAGGAAGGTTGAGGGTCCTAAGAAGATTGATGAAGTGCATCGTGATGCTGCTCAAGAAAGGCAAGTACAAACCAGTCGTTTAAATCGTGGCCCTAGCATGAATTCTGGGATGAGAAGGGGCCAACCTATGGATTTTGGTCCTCGAGCACCTATGATATCGTCTCCTATTGGGCAGGGTGGTGGTTTCAGAGGTATGCCCTCTCAGCTTCGTGGGTTTGGTGGACAGGATTCCCGGATTGATGAAAGGAACATTTTTGAAAGCCGTGGTACACCTTCAGTGCCTTTGCCTCAGAGGCTATCAAGTGATGAGACAATTACCCTGGGACCCCAAGGTGGTCTTGCTAGGGGAATGGCATATAGAGGGCAACCATCTATGTCTAATTCTCCCCTGTTAGACAATACCCCATCCTATGTGGATTCAAGAAGAATGATAGGTGGTTTGAATGGTTACAGTAATGTGCCAGACCGTGGAGCATTTAGCTCAAGGGAAGATCAACTTGTGAGGAATCCATCTGATAGATTTGTTGCTCCAGTTGCTTATGATCAATCTAGTAGCCAAGAGCATAACACAAATAGGGATGCCAGATATCCCGATCAAAATTTAGACAGGGCTAGGCCATTAACACCTACTGTGGCACGGGTTGCGCCAGCTCTAAATGTTTCTCCAGAAACAGTATGGCCCGAGGAGCGTTTACGGGAGATGTCAATTTCAGCAATAAGGGAATATTACAGGTAAAGCTTGCTTGCATTTTTTTTTGATGGTCTCATTAAATTTCTATGTTTTATTGGGGCATCAGATTGAAGTGATATCCTCACTTCAAAATTGATTCATTAAATTTCTATGTTTTATTGGGGCATCACATTGAAGTGATTTCCCCACTCCAAAAATTGATCGTATCACTCCCCTCGTGCATACGCTCACAATAGGAGTGCCAAAATCTTTTTTGGTACGGGACTATTAGCATAGATTTGTAATATCTAACTGCAGACTCCCATTAATATCTGGAATCTATCATTTGAGTCCAATATTCGAAGTCTGTGTGATGCTATGTTTATATTTCAGTAATCTTGCTGGTGTGCATATCTGTTTGTCACAGGGCTTTGATGCTTAGTGTTGTAGGATGCTTCAAGTCTTAAACTAGCATCTGCTTGTGCATTGTAGTGGCATTCTCTTTGGGTGTGTATAACTGTACAAGTGAAGCAGTTAGTTAAATATGTCTTGTACTTCATATATGCTACTACTTCAATACCAATTTACTTGCCCTACTCTCCGAATTAGGGTGTACCGATTTACTTGCCCCATTTTCTGATTTAGGGTGTATCAATTTACTTGCCTCATTTTCCTATTTGGGGTGTGCCAATTTACTTGCCCCACTTCCTTATTAAGGAATTTCCTCCTTTTTTGGTAAGCTGGATCGCACATGCACCCTCCCATTTTCTTCTCAATATATATATATATATTAATTAGAAGCTTCATTTCACGCTAAATTATTTTTCTAAACATCAATTACACTAGATTAGTTGACGTAGACTCGTAAAGGGAGGAAAGTTTTGTAATATACTATGTAGAAAACATTGGACATCATCTTGTAGTGAACTTATTGTTAAAAAGTGCTTTTTGCCACAAATCCACCTTTACTATATAATTTGGTTGCTGCAATGCCACATATTGACTTTGTTGTTTGCCAATTTAGCTTTTGTTGTTGAGGAAACTGTAAGACCTGTTAGGTTGTTTTTGTTTACTCAAAGGTTTTGCTAGCAGTCATGTCAGAATTTGTGGCTGCTTTAGAGTTTAGACATCTCTGATGGTTTGATGAATTGAGCCGTGCAATTTTTGACAGAATCAGAAAGAGGAATATGTAGCCATTAGGAACATTTTCTTGTATAACTTATCACTCAGAGATTCAAAGGGCTAATCCTATTTTTTAATTTAATTTTATTTTTTTTCTGGTGAAGAATTTGCTGCTAAATTAAAAATCAGATGACATGACTCACATGGGTTTTTAAGTATGAAACATAGGCTTTTTCAATGGGTACAAGTGAGGGAAATATAGTTTTGACTAATTGTGCCATGTGAATACCTTGCCATTTTATTGTTTTCTTTGGTTTTATATTACCTTCATTGTACAGGGCTGGGAGTGAGAGTGTCATATTATTGTTATACCCAGAATCATTCTTGATTGATAATATATTTCCTGAAGGCATGCTGTGTGAGGCTATTGGAACCCCTCCCATAATAGGCCAACAGCTAAGCGAAATAAAGGAAATTATATTATAATTGTGATTTACTCGTACTCTCTCATAGCAATGCTTTCATCCTCAATCACCCTAGAAACCCTACCATGCAGCCTTTTTTTTTTTTTTTTTTTAATCTCATTGGTTTTCTTTTGCCTACCTTGATGGTATCGTCACATTTTTTTTTAATAATTTATTATGTATTAATAATTTTATCTGATGCTGCTATCAACTCTTTAGTAAGGGACGTGATACTCACCATTTGATTTAGTCCCTTATCGGTCTAGATCCTCTTCTGCCTCAGGCTCCAGAATTTCTCTCTGGAGTCAATTTGGAGTATTGGATCACGTGATTTAAAATTTGTCCTTGATAGACTTGTTTTTGGACAATAGCAACCACCACCTCCCAGTTATCTAATTGTTGTGGTAGCATAGAGTTATATGCCCTCTCCTAGGATTTTTTACTTATTATATTGATTCCTCGCATATGCATGGCACTAGTGTGTTGGTTGGATTGACAGTCAAAAGTACTTCGTCAGTCTTCATTTTTTGGAATCTCTTTCTTTCATCTCATGAGCAGTAGTTGTATGTAAAAAGGTGAATTTGGCTTGTATAATCCTCATTCACTAATAGTCACAGCTTTGTGGATGGGCTTAGTAATCATATTTTTCTGTTAGAAGTCATTCAGCCCCTTGTATTAGATAAGACTGGAATGGGACACTTTGATGACTAGACTTTTCTCCTAGACAATTTGGTGAATTTCTATGATGAATACTGAGTATAAAAGTAGTTTGATGCACAATGACCTTGATAGATTTACACTACATTTGTTTTAAAAAGATCTTAACAGTTACTGTTTGCACACAAAGTGTAAGACAATAGGATAAGGGGTTTAGTAAGAGGAGTGTGAGAAGGTGGGTAGTGTTAGAAGGTGGATAAAGTTTTTGAGAGTGAGTCGAAAGGTGAAAATACTGTGGGGTAGGTGCGTAAGATGGCAAAATGTGTGTGCCAAGAATAGAATAAAGTGAAATTGTTAAGTACTTTGTGAAACAGAAGAATACGAAAAGTATTGAGATCATTCTTAATAGAGGTACTTAGTGAATGTATGTGATGAAATTTATTGCAAATATTATTATTAGATTGCTTTAGGCAAAGATGACTTGCGTCTTTGCTTCTTTGAATATGAAATAATGGAGGGATTTGCTTTCAGTGCGAACGATGAGAAGGAAGTTGCACTATGCATCAAAGACTTGAATGCTCCAAGTTTTTATCCTACAGTCATTTCTGCTTGGGTCACTGACTCCTTTGAAAGAAAAGACTTGGAGCGGGACATGCTGTCACGACTGCTTGTCAACCTTACAAGACCTCGGGAAGGCATTTTTAGCCCTGGGCAGCTTGTTGAAGGGTAAGAGTTTCTTTGTGGCAATTTTTAGTTAGAGTTCTGTATTAATAATAGTTATTGTACTTGTATGTTTTGAACCATCTTTTTGTTTTTATTTCCCAGGTTCAAATCTGTATTGACTACCTTGGAGGATACAGTTACTGATGCCCCTAAAGCGCCAGAGTTTCTTGGCCGGATATTTGCCAGTGTAGTAATAGAAAACTTGGTACCTTTAAAAGATGTTGGTCGATTAATACAAGAGGGTGGGGAGGAACCAGGCTGTCTACGAGAATCAGGGTTGGCAGCTGAAATTCTAGGAAGTGTCCTGGATAAGATCAAATCTGAGCAAGGAGAAACTGTACTGAAAGATATTCGAGCTGGCTCCAATCTGCGGTTAGAAGATTTTCGACCCCCAGAGCCAATTAGATCCCGTAAATTAGAGATGTTTATGTAGGGGATGTTGATGATTATTGTATGTGCTTACAAATTTCTTGGACCGCTATCATTCAAGGTACAAGCATGACAAGGAGTTTAGTGGAAAGGATTTTTTTTTTCCAACTATTTATGAGCGGAATGAGATAAATGTGGCAATTTTTAATTGCATTAATCTGCAACATCACAATATTATTCCTTTGATCGGCTGAGTTGCAAATGTGAATTTTTTGTTGAGCATCACATAATCAGTAATTAGCCCAACTCTTTTCCAAAATCTTCAGGATTTCTTTTGAGCAACCGGTGGTAGTATCTTTAAAGCTTCCCCCCCCCCCCCCCCCCCCCCCCCCCCCCCCCCCCCCCCCTATGATAGAGGTCACAAATTAAACTTTTGCTGAAACGCCTGAATGTACTAAACTTGCAGTGTAACAAACAGATCAACCCGACTTTCATGTTGACATTGCTTCTGCAGATTCAGCTTCCCAAATTGATCTCATAAAAACCATTACCTAGGTAGTACGGGGTAATTATAAGACTTATGACTGTGTCGAGCTATGCAAAGAAGAGAGAGTACTTTGGTTAGGATTTACATGTGATATCTCGGGCATTATCAATCTCTTAGGCTTTTTTTGGTTCAATATTAGTAAAGGAAAGGAAGGGAAGGGAAAAGAAAGAAAGAGAAGAGAAAGGAAAGAAATTATATTATCCAATGTTTGGTTTGATATTAGTAAAAGAAGGGAATTGAGAGGAATCTATTGTTTGATATGATGTTAGTAAAGGAAAGAAAGGGAAGGGAAAATTAATTTTAAGTTTAATAGATTTAATTTTTTTTCTTTTCTCCCAAATTCCTCCAATTTTGGGATGAAAGGAAATGGAAGATTCTGTAAAGGGAGTTTTCCTTCCATTTTCCTTCATTTCCTATCAAATCCCATTTAATTTTTAAAACTGGTTTATATTTTTAAAACCAAACATAGGAATTTATATTTTTCCTTTCATTTCTTTTCTTTTCCTCCCAATTCCTCCCAACCAAAAAGGGCCATAGGTTGACCATCAACTTGTTTTTAGGATTTAGGATGGCAACTTGGCAAGAGTAAGCAACTATATACCAGGGAATACTCCATAACAATGTGCAAATACTTAGGAATTAGGAGCATTAAGGATTTGTCTTCAACTTGTTTTAGATACTTACTATTTATTCCATAACAAATTCAGATTAGATCGGATTTACTTATTGCTAAATATCGTTAATTGCGTGTTAAAAAAATTTATGAAAATTACATATTTGAAAAGTTCATAATGAGACGAATCTAACAAAATCCATTTTGATAATGTTTTATTTTTTTATTATTTTTTTTTATATAATATAGATTAGTATTAAAATGCGGTCAAAGATTAGTCAAATTATTAAATCAGATCAAACCAGACCAGATAATATAAATTCAGATCATACCAAATTAGACCTTATTACAATCAGACCAGATCTCTTTGTTTCAGGTGAAGAGAACAATCTCTAAATCTAACCGTGTATATATGTAATATGGTGCATGTACTCGTAGGCAACGAACTATGTTTATAATGTTTAGGGTTCTAAGGATACACTAGAGGTCTGACAGAGCGAGTATAATCATAGTGCGTTTTTTTATATATGGAACTTACATAATTCAAAAAAAAATTTATTAGGCAACAAAGGCAGTACGAAACTTCTCTACCCATTAAATTGCTGAAAGTAAGTAAACGGTAGTCTATTATATCATTCATGTTACAGCATTAAGTTATACTTCCTCCGTTCTAATAATATTGCAACAACTGGACTTTACACTATTCATCATGTTTATTTGACCATATATTATGATTTATACGTAAAGTAAAATATAGTCATGTGGGGTCTTGTTAGATACGTCTCGTAAAATACTTTCACAATATCAACTTTTTATAATTTTTACTCTTAAATAATTATAGATATTTAGCATATAAAATGTGTCTTAAAATGCTTAATTTCATCCTTGTTGTAATATTTGTAGAACAGAAGAAGTACCTCTTTAGAGAATGGTTAATTTATTCTTAAATGCCATTTTCATTGGGGTTTCATGGAACATGCTTTATCATTTCATATAAGTTTATGTGATATCAAAATTGGTTTAAGGCACAAGAAAAAAAAAAACAATGAAAAAAAAAATCATATTCATGTAAAAAGTTTTGCAACCAAAAATTTCACTAAAACATATAAGAACCTATTACAATTAATAAGATTCTGGCCCAATTCACAAACACATCAAAACTAATACGAAATACAAAGGTGGTATTAGTCACTAAAGCACAAACAATCCTACAATTATATAAGCAGCGTACGACGATTTTTTTTTTTTTTTTTTCATGTCCCTTTTGCATGATCCGAATTCAGAAAGGTATAAGCTTAGCTTCACAACACGATCATCAACAACTTAACAATGCTCACTGTTTTGCCTATCTCCGCGAAAACTATGCCTCAAAGTCGATCTTTTCGTTGCCATTTTTGTGTCTTGTCTCCATTGGCTTTGTAATTATCTTCCATCAATTGATCTTTAATCAAATTGGCTACATTCTTTCCGTGTGGGGTATTCTCGAAAGTATCCAAATCTTGCAACAATTTCTTGTAAAGTTTTTTCGTACAAGAAAGTGTCATGCTTCTACAATAAAAAAAAAAAAAAATAAAAAAAAAAATAAAAAAATAAAAAAATGAAACTTTTAACAATAAATTTATGAATTACTTCACTATGACAAAAATATGCTATTACTTCTAATAATGCATAATTTTTTTTACCTTTGTCTCTTTGAGTAGTCTCTGGATGACATAATTTCCAAACTTAATTTGTACAATAATCATAAGATTCTTACTCTTCAGAAGCTCCTCTGCTACATAACTTCGAAAAGGACAACCGCAACATTTCTCCACCAAATAGCTACCACTCTTGTTTATACACAATATCTCATATATAGGCCTTAGTTCCCTAGCAATTATTTCATTACATAATGTATAATTCATCATTATTACATGATGTAAAACGTAGTTCCTGTAAATCATAATCATGAAAACAATGTATAGTTAGAATCATTGTATGAAAAAATGAATATATATTATATAGAAGCATTAAGTCGAAGTCTTTGTACCATGTTAAAAGTTAGAATCATTGTATGCAAAAATGAATATATATTATATAGAGCATTATGATTGGTAAATTACCCGTGCTCATTTAGTGCCAAAAATGCTGCGTTGTTGGCGATCATCATGAGGAGACGTTCCTTGAGAGAAGGGGCATAGATTATCCTCACAATCTCGCCTTGATGTGTATAGGACGGCATGGGGTAGAAATCCATATAATCGATGCAAAGTTGTAACGAAATGCATCCATACTTGGTGGTAGCTATATCCCACCAATGTTTTACCACTTCTTCATATAGAGTCTGGCAAAACTCACATATTTAATCATTCATAAACCATTGTACTAATATGTATGTAGGTAACATTAATGATTAGCTTACCTCGTTCTTAAATTTGTCCAATGAAACAAAGCATCCATGAACAATATGTCTTCCAAATTGGTCACTCATCAAGCTCACAACACTAGGAGCAAAAGTCCTAGGAAACAGACTAACACCAGGTAGTTTCCTCGCAACATGGATCAACTTCTTAATCACCGGAAAACTGTTGAATATAAACAAAAACATCAGTCTTGACCTCAACTTGCTTCTGAAAGATACCTAATAAGAACTTATGATCCGAATCCATAAAACCAAGGTCGTACAAATAAATCATTTCTGTAAGAATACACAACTATGCAATTACTCATGAAAGAGCTTAACAACTTACGCGACAGGGTGACAGGAAGCACGGACAAGGTCCTCATCAGGATATTCTGCAATCTTATCAAGTATACCAGTGATCACACTTTTAGGACAGTCTTCTAGGAGATGCAGAAATTCAGAAGAACGTCCTTTATCCATCATTACGACGTAAGGATCACTTAAGAAATCTCCGAGTAAGATCGTTGGTCTATTATAACATCTCGATTCAATAAAATCATTCCATAGTCTGTTTGCTGCGCTAGAATATAGACCAGGATATTGTATAATTGAATTCCGATAATTCAATTCACTGTTGTTACTGCTACTGCTAGCACCTGCATACTGACGATTGTAGTCTAAATTCATAATGTTATTGCCAATTACAGGTTGATCATTGCTTATTTTGTACTGATTAGACAGAGAATATTCCCCTGTTTCAAAGAATTTCCAGAAAAAATGTTTCATTTAATCAATTTGTATACTGAATTCTTGTAAATTAAACAAGAGACATTTAATAAAACCCCAATAATTAAATCCAAGAACCAGAATACTAATTTTTTTTTTAATAATTCGATCGATTTTTTTCAAAGTTATGTGTGATGCAATGCAGACTACAAATTTCAGAAATTTCAGGGTAAATGTAACCAATATAGAGATTTTAGGGTAAATTTAAAATTAATTGAACCAGCATATTAAAGTTTAAGGCTATTTACAATTCTACCTTAATACCTTATAAATAGTTAGTCAGTCGAATTCTTGTTATATTAGTTTCAATATGTATTCTTGTTATAGATGAATCCTAACATCATTCTTCAATATAAGAAACCATTAAGCACGTAATTAAATTACAAGAAAAACTTTAGAAAAAATCAATACCTTCATAATTGTTGGACGACAAGCTTAAATTTTGCATTAGTGAATTCAAGTTAGCAGTATGATCAAGATTTCCATTAATAATTTCTTGAATCATTGTAGTCCTTGGAGACATTGATCTTCTTTAACTTTCAACAATTATTATAAAAAAAGTGAAGAAATTAGCGTTAAATTCTTGTAAAAAAAGCTGGTAATTATATAATTTTTGGAGGGAAGGTATTTTGGTTTTCCTTATTCTACTATAAGTCTACTCTTTTTATATTAAATAAAAGTAGGGTTTTGAACATAGTTGGAGTAGAATCTGTTTCCAAAATTACATCTAATAATCAACGGTTAATAATAAAGGTACTTTTGATTAATTTAGGTTATTAATTCATCATGTTAAATATGATATTATGAATTTATGATAAGTTTATCCCAAAAAGTTGTTACAGTACAAAATTTACTTATAAATAAAATAAATAAATAATTAAAAAGGTTAGAACCACAAAATCGATCCACTTCAATATCCGAAACTCAAAGTGTTTAAGCCTACCTCAAACTCCTAAAACTTTCATGCAATCAAAAAAGGAATTTTTGTTTGGATTTTTTTGTAAAATAAATCTTTCAATCAAATTGTAGTCAATTTTTATTATTTTATTTTAGATTAATGAAAGAAATTACAAAAATTATCTCCTAATGGTGATGATGTCGCAACATATAATTAAAGATTAGTTTCTTATGGTTCGCAAACTTGCATGTTTCAATGAAACTTCATTTTATTGTTTCTCTTGCAAACTGTAAGACAAGGATTTCGTAAAACAGATTTGTGGTTTCTTTAGGCAGAAGAATTTGATGAAAGGACTGAAACTCATGATGCTTTTGATAACCAATGTAGTCTCAGTAGCTCAAGGAAACCAATCTGTTGAAACTTTCATGCTATAAAGCCTATAATCGATCCCTTAAGAACCATTTCATATCAGCTGGCACGCACCCATGATGAACTATGGACTATGTGCAACGCGTGTAAATCAAGTGAAATAAAGAGTTTGAGCAACATTGAGTACAAAATTGCAAAACAGATGTTCTTTACATTGCCAAAATTGTATGATACACAGTGAATGAACTCACGCTACATTTGCAACACTCCTGCATAACTAGGCTGCAGCTCCTATCCTTAGTAATAAGAATCTGTCCATCCCCTGTGCCTAGTTCTATGAATATGAAAGAATTCTACTTCACAGTAATCTTTACTGCTCGAGCCAGGCGTTTGACATGAGTTAGTCTCAATCTCTTAGTGTTTACTACACCTGAAACAGTCAAATGAGCACATAAATATGGACATAGGTAGATTAGGTTCTCATAAAAAGCAGATTTAACAGAACATAAAAAAGAGTAACTCACAGCTTGTAAGAAGTCCCTCATTATGCTGTTGACCATTACCATGTAATCTTCTAGCCAGATGCCTTATGTCACTTACACGTAGCCTTCTCGGGTTCTTCCTTATATTCTGAGCTCCTCCTAAACATAGCAAAAGAAATTTCTTAAGAACACATTATTTAATTCACAAAGAATGATACTCCTTTAAGCAGTACATGAGATAAACTGCTAAACCTTGAGTAGTTTCAGAGCTAGTTGGCAGCTCATTAAGTATAGGTAAACTGGCAGAATGGTGGTCAATCAATTCAAGCTCAGATGCATTACTCCTTATGCTAGTATCTGTTTGCTGAGAGCTTAACATTTTGGCATTCTGAGCCCTCAATCTCCTGAGCTGATAATTTCTACGGCGTCTAGCAAGATGCCTATCCCTTTGCTCTTGGGTCATGTTCTGTCTTCTTATCCTGTCTCTAAGACGGCGCCTTTCCCTTTCCTTTTCCCTCTGCATCGCGTGTGCATCCAATCTTTCTGCTTGCTGCTTAGAAGCCATTCCCCTTTAAAACTGTGAACACCCCCAGAAAGTCAAACTCAAACCAATGTCATACATAAAAATGTTTCAAAGAATGACTATCTCAACAACAGCACGTTTTAAGTAAATTTGTCGTACATCAAATCAACAAATGACTCATTTGAACTTGATGAGCAAAAAGTATGCAGGGACTTCCTTTTAGGAGCAACAAAATGTCACAAGAAATGAGTAATTTATTGGAAAACATAGATGATATATTTTTGCCAAATAGTGGTATGCGTTCATGAAAAAAGATATAGGTACAAACTTGATAATAATGTGACATTGTGGAGTAAATTTATAATCATTTACTGAATGTTCCTTAAACTGAGGTAAATTAAAATCACAAAAAGATGTAATCTTGTTTTTGGAGTAAAACAAACTCATTAGCCTACTTACGAAATCATGTCATTTTATCTTAGCCGAATGTACATGAATTATGACTACGTGACTTATGACACGCATCCATGCCTTGTGCTCATATGTGCACCAATACTCGATCAAGAGGGCACTTACAGCCAAAAATCAACAATCACCAAGAAAACCTCTCCACAAGAATCGACAATTCAACAATCCAATACAACATTTATTTGTTGAATAAAAAACAAATTATAACATTCCCATGTGAGATTAAATGTATATCTAAGCCAAAGCGTTTCAAGACTCATTGAACACATGAACATCAAAAAAATAAATAAATGATTCGTAAAATTTTAAACCTGATTATAAAAAACAAATATTGATATACACAAAATTCCAAAGATTAAGGATGGACTTGCCTTGTGATATTGGGAAATGAAGAACAAAATCAAAATGGAAAAGGAGTCGAATTTTGGCTATTTCTGACTGAGAGATGTTTCATTGCACCCCAATAAAAAAATAGAGGAGTTGATTGGCATACTATCTGTTACAAGTGTATATATCTCCTGTAAATTGATGTGGATTATAGGCGTAAATCCAATCCATATTAATTTGGATTTGGGTTTCATGACATTGCAATCCTATGAACATGGGTTATAATGTAGGTTTTCAAGATGGAGGTCTAGAGGTAATTATGGCTGGGCTAGGATTTGGCCAAATATTATCTTGGGTTGGGACTTTTAGATTGGATCGGTTTGTTGGTCCAAAAGTGACTAGGAGGCCTAATATGAAATTTCTCTCTTAATGACAAAAAAAAAATCATCTTTTTTTTGATTCAAAAGAGTTTAGCCAGTAACCAAAGAAAAGAGAGCAACATGGAAAAAAGCAAACACAAAAACTAAAGAACCAAAAAAGCAAAGAAGCTAAACTACGGAGGAATTAGGCGTGGGAGAGCCACCCCCCTAGCATCCTCCTCTAAGATACAGAGCAAATCGTATTAAAGAAGACAACATAATGTTTACTTTTTGGTTGGCCTCTTTTTTATGATCTACTCCGATGATTTATTTTCAAAAAAGCTCAATTTGAATCTCATAAATCTGTATATCATTTAGGATATCAACATTGTAGTTGATAATCAATTATATATGTAGCACAAACGACTTAGTTTGTAGAAAAGGGGAAGTCCAAATCTCAACCAATCTTAGATTCATTAGCACCATAACATTTAAGGTTTTGAAAACAAGAAAATTTCATCTCGTAAAGTTTTTGTGCTATTATGATTCTAGATATGAATTAGAGGAAGTGATTTGAGTTGCCTGGAACCTTCACAATCAATGCGTAAGTGTCACTGATGATTGATCCAATGTCATTATCAACAAAAACCTAATTAAAACGTAAAAGTTATAACTTATCAAGTAAACTTTATTGGTGAAATTATTGTTGGAAATTAAGATAAAGTTTATTAGACATTTAGACTAGTCAACTTTATAAAAGTCACAAGGACCTTAGGTGACATAAGACATTAGACTGAAAATGACACTTATATTTATATGTGTCCTAGAAACTAATTTGCTAGTAAGTTCTCTCGGTTCTCTCATATCCATATTACTTAAATAACAAATCACATTAACATGATTTTTAAATATAAAATAGATAGGAAAAAAAAAAAAAAAGTATGTCAGAAGCTGATAAGTAGACATCTATACTATTATTAAAATTCAAAGGGATTACATGTGATTGTCACGTGTCACCTCTTCCTTAGTAAAGGTGACGACGACTTATGAATTGAAACAAACCTCTATCTTATTATTAAAACTATGTATTTCATTTAGTAAAAAAGATAGAAATATCATCTAAATTCTGTTACAAAGTCAATGTTTTTACAAGATTCAACAATTACAATTAAAGTGGATATTTCATACACGGTACAATCTTCAAAAAAAAAAAAAAAAAAAAAAAAAAAAAAAAAAAAAAAAAAATTACGGTTGTTCAATGACCTTCAAGTTTGTTACAAGGACACAATCTCAACTCTATCTTTCAAATCCAAAAAAATAAAACTCTTTACTCAAATTAAGAATTCGGGATAACGCCTGAACCCATCACTAGCTTAGTTTCCTAAAAATTAGCAAGGACTATCTTATACCTAAAGAGTAGGTGAAATAATGGAGATTTTACATTATTTCTGGACGGTTACAAGTGATTCTTAATGCCATTTAGTAAAATTTATGTTTTAGTTCTAGACTTCTAGGTTCTTGCATATTTCCCAACCAAAAGTTGAAGAAACCACTACAAGTCTACAATAGTCAAATAGCCACAAGAATCACTATTTTGTGTGGGAGAAGAAGTATGTATATGTAGCTATCAGCCTATCAGTTCACAACTTCAAAGAGCATAACCAAGAATTTGTTTTTGAGTTAAAAAAGGATATGATTGTTTTCACATGTTACAATTAAATTAAAAAAATAATATCATTTGCCGTCCAACGTGTTGCACAACCCCCCTAAAGCCATAACATCTGGAGGTCCAATTTGAATCCTTGTAGTGTGGTCCATATCCCAGATTAGCCAGATATGCCATTTGTTATTACTCCCTCCGTATTATGCAAGTGGAGATTGCTAGGAAATTATAAATTACTCTGTATAGAATATATTAATGAAGTGATAATTTATTAAAAAGTAAGAGATGTGAGAAAAGAAAAATAATACGTATTTCAAAAGTAAGAGTGGAGATCATGTGAGGAGAGCAATATATATATATCCAAGAAAGGAAGTGACACACTTTGAAAAAACGGTTGAAAGAGAAAAGCGATGGACTTAAAAAAAATGAGAGAGTACATAGAGTGTTAGGTACCACGTACCACCCTAACATTTCAACCAACTACAATAGATGACATTCATATTAATATCGTGCACCTTTCATTTCTTATTTATTTGCCCTAAATTCCATTTTAGATTGTCTCTTAAAAATTGTCTTGTTTTCTTATAATATGGTAACACGTCTCACCAATTATCCTTAAAAGTGAAAACGATAACTAAACCCACATTCACGTGTAATTTTATATCGAAAAGTCTTAATAAAAAACACATTTTGTTTATGGAGCAAACAAGGAGGGATGGAGAGAATACTCCATGTGCATTAATTCATTTCCCCATTGACTCTAACCCTCACATTAAATGGTCAAATGAGAAAGATACAATAAGATGGAGATAGTTATTGTGGTAGACTGGTAGTATTATTAGTCTACCTAATTGTATGAACTCTATACCAACCCATTGTTGGCAAAGTGGTAAGAAAAATCTCCAGGTTAGAGATTTGAACCCTATTAGTAGTACTTAAAGAGTGGAAATTCCCCTACTTTTCTCTTGCTGTCAAAGTGTACAACCTACTAGCTCAAGCCGAGTTGACTTGTGAGAGATTTTAAAATAATAAGACAATTCTTCTTACCTATAAAAAAAAAGTATATACCCTATGATGTGTGCATGCCACACGTGCACGTGTGGCTAGCTTGCGCATAACATGGGACAAGCACGTCACACAAGTTACCGTGCGCTAGCGAATGTCCTGCACACGCCAGCTAAAATGCACAAAGCTATATGGGATGTTTCAAGAGTGGACGACTAAGTAGTCCAGTTCAGAATATAGCCGCATGTCTTCACATCTATGATCTGTAGCATTATAAATCATTGGACAGTCAAGTTCAAAGAAATTGAAAAGGAGATTTAATTATCAAATTTAAATGTGCAATCATTATAAAAGCTTGTTTTGTTTGTGTTGAACTCCATTATATTCAGCTGAAAATACAAGGTGCAACCAAAGATGTACCCATAGATTTCAATAGCCACACATTATACAACTACTAGTCGTAGCATTAATTTCTACAAAACTAAACTTCAACTATGAATGGAAAATGAAACTATGGCCCCAACCCCAATTGTTTATCTAACATGTTTTCAGTAAATCACATACTGGTGCTGCACAAACAAAACCAAAGCTGTTAATTGTTACCCTACTGATAAACTGCAAGTAGGCACCAGAACTCTTATTCCAATTCCCACGAATGTAGCAAAATTTTGAGCAGGACATGGAGAGAACGGAACTTTACAAGACCTCCAAGCCATTTGTTTGATCAAGTGATTCGGCATTAGTATTCCTCACCTCCATGCAGAAGAGGATGACAAAATGCGGTTCTTCCAACCCAGAAATAGTGCTCCATGCCACTCTTGCAACCTATAATTACCATGGAACTCCTTCAGCAAACCCCTGACTCCATCAATCACTGTGTAACTCAAGGGCAATTGAGTAAAACCTGCCATGCTCAACCTTGCCCTCCATTTGCCAAAAGGCTCATGCCTTTCTACCCTTTCTGCGTCCTCGCAAGCTATCATGTTAACAATATCACGTGCAAGACAATGCATCTCTGCATTTATCCTCTTCTTGTCATCCCTAGCAAGAGCCACATCTACTGACTCGTACATTGCCGTGTAGTAATCCAAAGTCTCAGCAAATCGATTGAGGAAGGGAGAAGTGTTTGTGTTTGACTCTTGCTCGACTACAGTGACTATTCGGGGTGACAATTCCTTAACTAGCCTCAACAAGCGGTCGCGATGGTTTGCAGTGCTCACACTCTCATCTGGCATGTGGTGTAGCATGTAGGGAAAATTCACTGTCAACGCCTCCCCAGGGCGAATGCTTAGATTCTCCCTTTTTACTTGGCAACCTGACATTGCTGCCGCATGGAATTCAAAGGGCACGTTGCATTTTTTAGCCTCCATCAGAAGTCTCTTTTCTACAAGTTCCAGCCCTGCTCCCCGGGCATAAGCTGATTGGGAGTCATCGACTCCAGTGATACGAACAAGTGGGGGCCCACCAGGCCGGTTACCAAGAGACTGGATTAACGATATCCACTGTGTCCCCATCCCAATTTGGAAATCAATGATGTGGATACTCCGCTCGTGCCCCACAGCTTCTTGGATGATGAGATTCGAGGACATGTATGCAAATTTAAAATAAGGGCAAACCTGATACAAAATGTGCATATAGGTGAGAAGCTCAGAACTTGTTGGTTGCTCACACCTTAGCTTCTTGTAGATAGTATAACCCGAGGATTCCAGCCTTGCTCTCAGCCCTTCAAGCATGTATGCAGCCAAACGTTGCATTGGTGTGCCACATACTGACACCATTTTCCCTAAAGCATCCATCAAGGTTTCTGCAGTTGACACATCCTTCTCTGAGACAGCTTGTGCACATAAATACAGTACCTGTTTGAGATCCATCTTAGGGAGCATCTCCATCAGTTGGTTTGATGAGGATCCATGATTACCCCCGTGACTCAAAGAGCAATAGTGTCCATCTGCCGAGCGAGGAGAATCAGGCCCCATCAGAGAGCGCTCCAGTTCTCTAAGCTGGTTCCTTAGTTCAGTATTGTCATCCACCACAGAGGAGTTACTCATTGGGGAACCATAAGTGTTATCGGATGATTGAGGAGGGTCTGAGATGTATGACTGAGAACCTTGTGGAGAAAACTGGCTTCTGTTCGATGAGGTGCTCACACCAGATGGTGAGTCATAGATGTTATAAAGGCCAGCATTTTGACCAGAGTCTAATGTGATATACTCTTCATTGAAGTTTTGGAAAGATATCTGGTTTCCCTGAGTAGGGTTATTAGGGTACATGTTATTGTCGAACACTTGATAATGGGATGAGCAATAAGGTGTTATATCAGGGGCATGCTGGTAAAGGAATCCATGTACTCCACTCGTAGCGCAGTTATGCTGAGATGTTTGCATCTAGTATTGTACTATCTGACCTTATAAAAGATAATACAGGGAAGATAAAGACTAATAGCCTTTTGTTTGAAACTAGAAGTTCAGTGAGAAATAGAGAATATGATATGTTATTTCTTACACTAGAGCAAGAGCAAAATGGTTACCTGCAGAGATTTAAAGAAACAATAAGAATTCAAGCCAAATCAAAATTTTAAAACCACATCATACAATTAACATGAAGACTTTGACACAGCTATTGAACGTTCAACTGGACAATAATTATTATAAAAGAAGGTAAATAGATTGAAGACGGACACCAATTACTCCAACTAAATTCACAGGATCAGCAATATCCGGGTTTCACAGTATGGATTTTTGCATTAAAAATAAATCTAAACCAATATCAGGTAATTTTTGCTATTTAATTACCATCACAGATCCAAACAGGAAGCTGCACCTTAAAAGGGAACTGCAGGTCTCAAATCGAATTGAAGATATTGAAGTATGAAGACCTAAGAAAGTTTATAGACTTCAATTGTCATCTCAATCTAGGACATCTCTTGATTGCTTGCAACATAATGTGACTTTAAAGTTTAAGCAATTGGCATTAGTCTAACTCAGTGGAACATGAACAAAATGCTTATCACTGGAGTCATGGATGTTGACGCTGAGATAATTCAGATAAACAGGCTACATTGACATTCAACATGACCATCTAACTCCGAACATCACAGTAATCAGGTAGTAGCAACTCCAAATCTACACACAACACGATCTTGATAGGGCAGCGTGCCCCAATGTTCATCATCCTAAGTTTATCAAGTAGCATCAAGATATAATTAATTATAAGGTAGCAGCAGAATCTAATGTAGCTAGCTGTTAAAGTCCCTCATTTTCTACATCTTCAATTCCCTGTTCGGGCAGTAACCAGTAAAAAGGACATGAATCTGAGTTACAAATAACAATCTGTAATAAACTTCCATCAGGTTAACCAGAACCAACAGAACCAGGACTGTTTGACTAAAACAAGAAATAAGCACAAAACAGTCACCAAAGGTTGTTAAAAGTAAGGATACACGCATTACTCGATAGAAAACCAATACATCTCCGGATGTATAATGCAGGACAAACTGCCTAAACGAATGGACAACTCGGAAAGGAAAGGCCAATTGAATAGAAGTACTATGGAACACAATAACATAGCAATGAATTCAAGATCTAATCTTTTCTATAACAAAGATTATAGCTTCATAGACCGCTTAAAATGATCACAAAGACTAAAACCTTAACACTACTACCATCATGATCTCTAAATCTTGCTACTATAGTAAGGCCTATATTTCCAGTTTTCCACCCTACTCGGCTCAATTAAATGTGTATGAAACCACAAAAACATCAATCTACTCTAATCATCAGAATTCCTGGTTATCTTAATTTGATTTTGTTTTCCGAAAATACATACACCCTTAATTAAGCTTATACTAATAGTTACAAAAGGTAATAATCCGCGTAAAAGTATAGCCAGAGTCCATAAATTCATCAAATGAAGGCTATGAAGCAGTGAAAAGGCATGAATTAAGATTAAAAAAAAAAAAAAAGCCACTTTTTAATCCAAAAGAAAGAAAAAAGAAAAGGGTAACTCAAACTCCCAAATATCATCAAAGTTCATGCACCAAACATCAATAATAAAAGCTAATTAATGTTTATTAATTATCTATATTATATTATGTACCTCAAGATTCAATATTTCAATACTTATCATCAATTAATTCAAATTTCTGGATTATTTTGATTAATTCCCACATAAAACAATCTTTCAATTCAATTTCCAAATCCTTATTAACTCAAAACTACTAATCACCAAATAAGAAATCAAAAATACAAAAGATACAAGAAAGTTTCAAACTTTAAGCAACCAATTCAACAAGTTGAACAACCAACGAGTAAATTTCAAACAATTCCAACAACCAAATACAAACAAAATTGCTAACATAAACTTCTAATTCATCACAAGTAAAATGAAAAACTGCTAACATAAAATTTCAATACATCAAAGAAATGAATTTAGGGAAGTGGGAAATTAAAGAAAGAAAGAAAGATTTGAGTAAGTGGGTCAACAAAATACATACCTTGTTTAATAATTTCCCAGAATAATCTGAAATTTGTATAAGTTGAAAAATGCAGATTTTGAAGATTTGGGAAAAATATTAGGAGAGAGAAAATGTTAAAAAGTTTGAGTCCAAGAAAATAAATTTGGGGAAGTTGATAACTTGGTTCAACCCACCACTTTTATAATCACAATCTTAAATTTGAGACAAAGTATGGTTGGAAAAACGCCCTTGATTTGTGATTTATTTACGGATTATACCCTTGTATTTATCACTAGTGGTGGCCATTGAGTGACTAAAGTGGGCCCATATTTGTGATGAAAAAACAAAAAGAAAATAGAACAAATATTACGTCACTCTTATCTTTTGCTCTTCTTTTGTCATCTCCGCGTTCTTTTTATATTTTAAGGGCCATAACAAAATTAAGGGATTAATATTATGATTATTCTTTGATCTTTGATTTTGTATTTGGTAATGTAATATTTTTTGTGATAAAAGAGGAAAAAAGAGTGACAATATGTGCAAATAGGAAAATGTTGCAATATTTGTGACATTTTTTAAATAATTATTGTTCTAATATTTATGAAATCCGGAGAAGTAGTAACGTATTTAACTAATCACTCTTGTATAAAATTGGAAGTTGGTGAATGGATAAGGGCAGGTTTGACGATAGTTATTGGATTTGTTTACAATGGTTAAACTGGGTCAAAAAAATTGTTGATATTATATACCATCATGTGGATTGTATTAATGTTAGACAAATTTGATGATGAATATTGAGGTAGATTGACTTTTAAGAATTGTGTTTTGATGAGGCTTAGTATATAGTTAGTTTTAGTTAGTATTTAGTTATTTACCATACCATATAGTTGAGCTAAAGCAATTGTTATGCATATTTGCATTTACAACTACATCCTTCAGGCTCTAGGAACTACTTTTCCGGCTAACAACTACTTCCTCTGTATTTTAATATATGCCCCATCAGTATTTTTTATACTAATAGTAGTAAATTAGTAATTCACTTGATCCACTTTAACTAGTATTTGTGATTTATACATAAGGGAAAAAAAAAATAAAAAAAAATAGATACGAACTTGTTGCAATCATCTCAATTGGATTGATTATGTTGTATGCATGACTTGATACAGTATCTTAAATAGGTTGGACTATATATTACTTCAAGAATATAATATTGGTGAAAAAATGTCAAATATATCTGTATTTCACTAATTTCAGCTCTCATTTATCTATACTGTAAATTGTAATTATTGTATAATTAGTGACTTCATCTCTGTCGTCAGCTAAATAATACAGTAAATAAAAGCACAAATGATGTACTAGTATTATCGTCAAATAATTTCTAGATGATCGAGTATAATTGTACAAATCATGTTTTTGTTGTCTATGACAGCATGATAATATATAAGTGGTCCCTCTTCCTTGATATTTTAGGTACATATACTAAGCTCTCTCTATCTACTACTCTCCGTAGTAAGGTGTTATCACAAAACTATAATTATTTTTGTCCTCATCTTTGATTAATAAGCTAATTGATTAATTAGTGAACGTTGATTAGTTCGTCCACATTAATTAATTATATATACTCCCATCCTTACTTAAAAATTGCTTCATTCTTTCATAAAATAAAAAATAAAAAAAATCCAATCATGTGATTCTAGAGTACGTATGAAACAGATTCTAGCTAATCAACTTAATAATTTTAATTTGATACACAAGAATAAACATGCATCTATATGTTTAACAAAAGACATGTACTAATTGGTATACATCAGTATACTACTAGTCTACTACGTATTATTTATGGAGGTTTTTATAGGTCATTTGATCTTAATAGTATTACAATTTTGGAATTTGAATTGGATGATATTTTAATGAGAATTATTTTTTCATCATATTAGATCTAGCTTGTCTAGTTGTTTCTCATGTTCAATTCATTTAAGAGTAGTTTTCTCTTCTAAGTAGAGAATAATATCCTTTTATTGCCTTAATCTATATGTGCGGCCGGGCATGAGACTTATTCAAGTAATTCAATAATGTTTAATTTACAAATTACAAGTATGGCTCTTTTTGTGTTGCACATGGATTAGTAATGGATGATAAGAAAAAAAGAAAAAAAAAAATGTGTCAAATGACTATGAAGTTCGGTTTTCGATTTGAATCAAATACAATCCAAGTTACTTATATTGAAATAAACTAAGTCTTTTTGATACTGAGTCCAATCCAATCCGAATTTACGTCAAGTTTTACTGTATTTTAATGTAAAGACTAGGTACTTTTGATCTAACTAGAATTTGCACAAGTCACAATCCAATTTAACACTAAATGGTTTAATTATATTTGGATTCAATCGGAAATCCATATTGATATACTCTGTATAATAATACAGTTATCTTATTTTTTACATAGTAGCCCATGGACATTATTTTTTAATTATAATAGAGTACTCTATTATTACCCATAAGCTAAGCCTTAATAGAGTGTACGTACTTTAGTAATTGAGTATATTAATAAAATAAGTGTACTTTAGTAATTGAGTATTTTAATAAAATAAATTTAATAGCAAAGTATTCTTCTTTCAAAACTAATACGGAGTAATAATAAAGTATTCTATTAGATATTTCAAAGATAACAATGTTGATTTTATTTTGATGCAAACAATGTTGATTTTTGATAGTATATACTTAGTTCCAATATACGAAATACATAATACAAAATCAGTCCTTGTTTCGGGGTTTTTTGAAGTGTCCTGCGGGAGAGTTACAACACCGAGACTGACCTCCAGCTGCCTTTACCTGCAAAATCACGGAGACTCCGGCTGGGGGGTGGACTTCCGCCTCCGACGATTAAGTTAGAACGTGTTTGAGGAGTATAGTGCGGAAATTAGTAATAAACCCTCATGAGTCAGGAGGGTTCTGCAATGAAGATTGCTCGTTTCTGTGTGTATGGAATATGTATTCAATGTATGTTATTTTTAACTGATGTGAATCATCAATATTTATAGAGAGTTTGGATGGATTTCTAGGGTTCCATGGGCTTCAAGCCTGGTTTCCCCTTTAGATGACACGTGTCATGCTCTGAGTGGCTCATTGAGCGCTGAGCGTATGGACACATGTCGCATTGGCATTGGTCCATTTGAAGGGGAATTTTTACCCCAAACAGTCCTTGCAAGGCAGATTCATAAGTCTTAATTAAGATTTCAAATAAGCTTATAATATAACATCATCATATATTACTCTTGAAGAAGATTAATTATTCATATAATTTTTATCTTTATTTTTTAATCCAAACCCTCTTAATCCATTCTAATGAACTAAGATTTTCAAGAAATCTTATTTTATCTGATCAAACCTAAAATTATAATCCAATCATAATCTGATTCGATTTTTTTCGTAAAAAAAAAAAAAGGAAAAAAAAGAGTAATTCGGTATAAAATGACTATGTACGGGCATATGACTCTAGACATTAGCCTTCCGCTCTTCTCTCCATGTTTAAACAACATAATTACGTAAGTATAAGAAGGAAAAGGTTTAAAAAACACAAAGAAAAAAACTACAATAACTCAATTAGCAATTTAGCATCTTAGTGAAAAATAAACTAGTTACAGTAGTACTGTGTTATCGTTTCTTCCTAGCTTACGTTGCGTTTGTGTGTCCATTTAAATTGATGTACCGTTGGACGGCGTCCTTCGTAGTACGGATTAACTAATACCAGTACTAAATAGTAATACTCATATAGGTCAACGCATTTAGGTCTGGTCAAATGTCTTTTTTTTCTTAAAAATACCTTTATACTTCAATTCGTATAATTTCAAGCTCAACTTCGTTCGTCGTCTTCCAATTTAAGTTTTGTTGATGAGATCCAACTGATTCAACAAACACTCGAATTGTATTAATTAATTATTAGAGTATTATTTTTGTAAGACAATTGTATCAGTAAATTTATATTGTTATAATAATTCATGTGCCATTTATGTTGATTGCTTACTATAGAATGACGTAATTTAATTAATATAGATGACGTAAAGGTTCGCTTAATAATCATTAAAATTTTCCCTATAAAAAACAAAACTAAACTTAGAATTTGTTATATACACCCGCGTGTACCGTACTCCCAACTAACCCAAGGTTAGTTTTTGCTTTTCATTTGATGATTAAATGAAAAACAATCATCAAAATGAGTACAAAATACTCGTGGATGTACAGTACACACGGGTATATATAACAATCTCTCAATCAAACTAGTCTATATACTTTGATTGCTTTGTTTTAAGATGATAATATGTCATGAGATCAATCAATATCGGAAAAAATATGTGATATATTATTTTCCATAGTGATATTTGTCATGAGAATAATATATTTAGGCTTGTTTAGGTTAAAGATATTATTTAGCGAATATATCTTTAGGATTTATAGTTGATTGTTTCCTATCTTATAATCATAGGTTACCTATTGATAAATAATAAGAAAGTAATTCCATTAGCTCTTTCACCCCAAATTTGTCTAGATCTTTAACCTAAACAGACCTAAATATATTATTCTCATGATAATATCACTATGAAAATATATCACATATATTTTCCGATATTGATTGATCTCATATCTCTAACATAATCTCATATATATGATGGATATTATATCATTATAATTCATATAATTTTCACTTTCATGAACTATAGAGTTTTCCAAAATATTTTCTTACAAATTAAAAATAGTGCATTTAGTTAAATTATGCATGGTAAGTCTAATCACATTTGTCGTTATATATATATAGAGGAATGGTAACCGATAAATCTAGTTTTTTTTTTCTTTTTGATAGAGTATATAAACCTATATATTCCTTTATAAGGTGAATAGATATAGATATATTCACTTAACTTCTATTTCTTTGTAATGCGTATGGTGAATTAGCTTGATAAAAGACGACAATGATAAATTATGCTTGCACCAAATCTAATTGTCCATATTTTATACGTAGTGCTTTCGTAAAATGACCAAACTTCAGCTACTATTTGGGTTTCTTCAATTATTATGTCCTGTGCTCTTGGTCCATCTCGACTATTTCGTTTCATTTGGCTTCTCTTGGTCCTCAATGTGGATGTGATATGATCCTCTTGGTTATTCAAGCTCCGCATCTATTGGTATGCTGCAAGA